AAATAAGCAGAGGCAACCATCAAGTTTATTTCAACTTTTATTATATGAGAACAAGATGGAGCAGACAAGACAGCATAAAAACTTGATGTCACTACACAACAAATAATGTGGTGTACAAAACAATGGGTAATTAACATTCAATATTTTGTCATTTTCCAACATTGGGCTGGTGGAAGAAAAAGTATTTATAGAACATTTAAGTTTATCACTAATAGTAACTGAATTAGGCCTACTAACAGGGCCAAGCAAAGTGGGTACTGGCCCCGGCCGTCCACATCCATAAAAACTGATGTACTTGACAAAGACATGGAACGCAAAAATCATATTTTAACTGGTCTGCGATATAGTGAGAGGCAACATTTTCAGGGTTCACCCTCTGCACGCTGTTGCCTACTAATATACTATAATCATTATTTTAAAAGTTGCGCATTTATATGTACAATAATAATGACTCATGATTACAGTTCTGATTCATCAATTTAAACAAATTTTTAAATTGCATATAAGTCTAAGCCTATAAATTAGAAGTTCCCAACTTGTGGTATGCACACCCCTGGTATACTCTGCAGGCTGCTTAGAGGTACATAACAATTATATTGATATTGTCAGAAAAACTGCAAACAGGAGGTTTTTAACCCTTTCATTTATAAAAACTATTTTTCAATATATAGCGCTATATTAACAATAAACTTTATCCACAAAATTATTTTTTGATAAAACTAATAATGTGAGTACCATATTGTTGTATTAAAATTAAAGCCCTATGTTGATTTTTTTTCTCCAGTTTTATAGCAAAATATTATATTGCAAAGTTTATTTTTGAGATTCATTTTAGTTAGTTAACATATGCCATTTTTTTTTTAAATTTAGCCATGTAGAATAAATATCTCAATAAGCTTGACACAGCATCTCTATTTGAGGTTATACCTTTCTTCATTTTGAAAAAACTAGGATCCATGAAACAAGCTGAAAGTGAAAGATCACATAAAAAATATTAGGACTCACATTGGACCATCTGCTTACAACACAAGACCAATAAATTTTATTTTAAAGTTACGTAATAATTATTGTACTTTCTTTAAAAGTTTTTGCGGCTACAAAAATTTAATATATTTTTTTATTTGTAAAGAAAAAAGAAACTGATAGATCTTGTAAAATAAAAGCCTACAAATATCATTTGCTTTATCTGCTTCATTTAATTATTTAGCTAATCTATTTTTATACTTTTTTGTGATGAAAGGGGCGTCATTTCAGTTTTTTTCAGGGGGTGGGGGGACAACAAAACTTGGTTGGCTTGTTGTTTATTACTGGAGGCGCCACAGTACATAGCAATTTAAATAAAACCTGAAAAAATCGGAGGGGGGGGGGGGCGATGCCCACCCTGCCCTACCCGCCTACCCAAATGATGTCCCCAATAAGTGGGAGAAGAGGGCGGAGGGGTGCTCATCAATTAAAAGTCTGACAAAGAGGTATGGACTATGGTAGAAAAAAGGGAACAACTGCTACAAAGCTTAAACTTAAATTGTTGATTCGGCTAAAGCCGTAAAGCATTTTGGGGTGTCTCGGAGTGATATGAGATATGGTCATATTCATATGGGGAAGACATAAGAAATATAATTTAAATAAATATTATAAAACAGGTCAGGGATAAACCTGAAGATGAAATTTATACAAGATTATATAACCTACAGGGGACTTATTATTTCTTAGATTTTAATATGGCGGAGATTAAAACTTCTTAGTCATATATATTTATTAACACTAACAGTTAATTAACAATTAATAAAATTGATGACTGAAAACAGTTAACTAAGTTCAAATATTTTTTTGGTCTTTAAACTGTCATATTTAATTTTGTCTTGGTTAAATAAGGGACTCTCATTATAATATTATAATATGTTCAAATTTCTGCAATGCTACACGTCACTTGCCTTAAATAGTAAATAGAATAATTAATAACAACAAAGCAAAAGGCAAAGGTGGTCACAGTTGAGTTTAAGTTTAACTGAATTATTCATTGGACTTGGCGTAATCCCTTATTTTAGCGCGATAAACTATTCCGGTAGACCACTGCTTCATATTTACCTGATAGGTTAGTACCTTAGTTTGTCATGCATTTTCGTTGGTCTTAAAAAGATTTTCATTTAATGTAAAACATGTTTTAAATCAGTCGATTGGTACATTTGTTTATTGTCTATTTAGCTGTGTGGCCAGATTTATTTCCTTTTCCCAGTGTCCGACCAAAAGCAATATTCTTACGGTTAAAGTAAAACACAAAAAAAGTCACAAACTATGTTTTATATAAACGTTTTTGTGTCAATGCTTATGAAATTATATTTATTGTAAGTATATATTTAATTTTTTATTTATTCAAAACCAGTAATTTGAAAATAAGCAGCAGAGCAGGTTATTCATATAGTTTGATTCTCGCTTCCGCTTATCATTAAAAGTGTGTTTGTTATTTATATAATATATAGCCTCACATAGTAAGTTTAAAGGAATCAATGGAAAGCAAGGGGCATTGCAATAAGGTACAGTTTAGTGATAACTCCATCCAGAAAAAGCATTAATGACCTCAATGTGGACAACTCGGATTTGGACTGAAAGATAAAAATTCTGTTGTTCTCCAATCTTGTCAGCCGAAGAGCTCCCTTGGCTGTTGTAAAATCACATACCTGTTATCACACTAAAACTCATTATTGTCATCAGTGCAGTGTGGCCGGGCCAAATCGATGTTTAAATTTCTTTGTTCCGCAATCTTGTCATAAATTATGATTGTTCATAATATTATTGCTTGTATTGAAATAAACATTTACATGAATGTGATTTTTTTTTTTTTTTAAATTTCAGATGAGCCTATCTATTACCCGGTTTCTAACATTATTTTGAAACTGTTTTTGGTGACTTTTTTCCGGTGACTTTATTCCTGTGATTTTTTCTTCGCTCACCGTTTTCCCAGGATGAGAGTTACTCTGATCTCGTTTTTCCGGGATAAGCAAAACCCCCTGGAAATCTTCTTCTATATAATAACGTAGCCTATTGATCATTCCGGCTCCTATGCATGTAGAGGGATTTGCAATGTCTCTGTGCTTAGTTTTGAAGTGGGTATATCCAGTGTTTCTTTCAGAAATTTTCCCTTGGACATATTTTTTGCTCCGGGGGGGAGGGCACTTGGCTTTCCCGGGGGGGGGCACTACCCGCCGGAGATATAGCTGAAAGAAACCCTGGGTATATCACACGTTGCAAGAGCTACTCAGCGAGGGTAACAGCAACTGGGGTTTGGAAGTCCTGAGGCAGTAGAGTGAAGTGTGTCAAGTGTTGTCGGCTAAACTGTTCCTTTTGAAAGCGTGTTCCAGTCCTTGATTGTCTTTGGAAGGAATGGGCAGTTCCTCTACTGTGTTCTTGCTGTTATGGACCGGAACTGCCTGTCGCTGTCCAAGAGGGGAGAAGGGTGAGTTTCTGTTAAATGCCACAACAGTGGACCTTGTTAAGAAATTAACCACTGCAACACGATTGAGTTTGTTGTGAGTGGAAAAGTTCAGTTTCTAAACAGTTATCTGGTAAACCTTCTTCTCCTTTAAGATTTGGTATTAGATTTTTTTTCCAATTTTACTAAATTTCTAATTTCGTATCTAGTTTTATCGAAAATGGACTTCATCTACCAACATTTGTAAATTAAAAAAAAAATTGAAACGTGAAAATATTTCTACCAATATCCAACATGCTTTATTGTCTTTGGGGCCAGCTATGAGATAATTTTTTGTCTTTGAAAAAAATTCAGTGATTAATAATTAATAACTTCGAAAAGTGACTCATGCTTTGATTTATGCTCCACCACATCCTACCATTTGGATCGATCCACGGCTTTCTATCTCCATGCGCGGACCCAGCTTGTGTAAGTGTCAGTCCTTCTCTACATCGTTCATCCATTTCAGTCTTGGTCCATCGGTGAGTCGTCTGCCTGTAGATCTCTTTTGTTGCTCTACAATCCGACTTCCTCTCCACGTGCAGTGTCCAACGCAGTCTGTTTATTTTATTGTTGTGACTATGGGTGGGTCTTTATACTACTGATATAATCTTCTCTGCTTTTCTGGTAAGAGACCAAGTCTTACGTGGTTAAACCGCAACGGGTCTTATTATAATATAATGCCTTCTTTGTTCTCTTTGAGTCGTTTTAGCTTCCTAGTAGCTTTTGTAGGCTGAAATAAGAACTGTTGCCTGCTGTTATCCTTCTCCATTATTTCATTGTTCTCATTTATGGTCGCTCCTAGACATTTGAAAGTAGCCACTCTTAAATCTGCGGCTGCTTATAATACTTATATTGATGTTGTAATCGGTGGGCGCGTTTCATGAAGTTAACGTATATTTGTCAAGTTTTTAATAAGCTTGGCTAATTTCGTAAATTTAAAAAATATTTTTAAAAAATAATTATTATTATCTATTATTGAAAAGGCATATTATGCGTTATAAAACATATTCATTTATACTGGATGCGAGTTTAATGACTCGCCTGCACAATTCAAAAGATTATTGGACAGCTTTGGGGGTGTGTCAGACACACCTCCCTTTCAACAAAGTTCCCGTTAAGTTTTTTACTTTTTAGATGTATATATATTTTTTAATGTATGGAAAAGGATAAGCGGCTAAGCTAAATATCGAAACACCCGTTAAAAACTAGAAATAATAACATCAGTAAAGGATAGTAGTAGGTAATACATTTACATGTCTGTATATTTATGTGGTGGTGCAGTTATACAATTAAGTTGTGAATTAGGTCATTTCTTGTTCATTTATTTATGTGTGGGCAAAGACCATGGGCATGTAATATTTAATATTGTTGATGTCGCTTAGGAATAGGGCTTAGGCGTAAACTTAAACTTAAGTTAAGCCTAAGCTGAAGCAATTTTAGCTAGCTTGCATTTTACTTTTACTTTTAGTCAATGAAGGCAACTAGAAATTCAAGGGCCAAGGTCGTGCGAAACTAGATAATTAGACCAAATAAGTTCCACACAAGCACACCATTACGCAGAGAAAAGTAGGGCAAACGTGTTATGCATATATATTTGACATTTACTGTTGCGAACGCGTTACAGTGTAGGTTACAACAAAAATCTCTATTTTAACTTATATAGTATTATTTAACGATTGCAATATATGAGTGTTGCCTTGCCTTGAATTAAAAAAAAAATGTTTTGAATTTTTTAAGTTTAGGCTATAGTATAGCAAATACCGTGACGTATTTTTATGCCGTGTGTGTAAGTAAAGTTGTATAAAAGTGGTAGGCCTATGGCTATGGCATGGCCTGCATTAAATTAATATATATAAACTGTTAGAAACATACAATGCAATACTTAAGTACAAAAACTCAACGTGCAGGCGCAGGATATCCGTTTTATTTCTAATTTGCTATCCATAATATTTAAATTTAACCGGTCCAGCTGTTTTACTACTCTTTATTTTATATATTTTATACTTTATAGTCCTACGTATTTTTCAGTTTTAACCGAGTGCCCTTCGTCAGTGTCCAGTGTTCTCTGTAAGGAGTTACCAAAAAGTAAAAAAAAGCAGGTACTTTTGATGTAGTCTACTCATCACTCCAATTCCAATTACTCCAAATGTCATCAATTCTCAAAAGATTTGCAACGACTATTGCTGCTATAAATACTAGTATTAGTAGGTAGGTAAAACTAACAGATTACTGAATACTGAATATTTAATCATTGATTATAATATGAATAACATTGAATATGAAGCATGAAACTCTAAATGCAATTAGGGGCCCTCCCGTATGTCATGCTATTTTTGGACAATTTTCACCCCCTCCTTCTCCACTGCCACTGTCACAATCTATCATAAATCTCAGACCCCCTCACCCCCCCCCCCCCCCAAAAAAAAAAACAATATAAAGTACCTCGACATCACACTTTTTAATTAAAAAATTGTTTAAAAATTTAAATGAAGTAAAATTTGATCTAAATCAGTGATCACCATAAAACTTTTAAATTTGCAAAAGTGACATCTTCTGTCACAACAGAAAGTGCAACATCACTGTCAAATTCAGGTTATAATTTTTTTAATGTGTTACAGTCAGACAAGATCTTTTCAACCCCCCCACCCCCTATAGTCACACTTTAGACCCCCTCACCTCTCTGGAGTGTGACATACTTTATGGACCGTCCCTTACTGTCACTTTCTGGAATCCGTTCACTTCAGTCTCTTATACTTTTATGAGAGTATTATGCATTTTATTCTTATACCATCCACTGATCTCTAAATATTCTGAAATTCTGGTGTGTCTAGTGTAGGCCTAGTAGTTTTACTACAATATTAATTATAATAATTTTTAAAAGAGGCTTATATGTGACTATTTAGATCTATGATGAATGAAATTATAAATTTACCTTAGTCTGCCATGGTCAGATCACTCACCAGAAACAATGACAATTCCAAGGCCAGGCTGAATTGTTACCAAAAATGTCAGTATCTACTAAAGCTTGAATTAATTAAATTTTACTGTTGAAGAATTTAGAAGCAGTAGAGTATTATTTTTTACCCAGCTTTTTACTACTGGTACATTCATCATGATCGAAAAAAATTTTCTCTACTGTCAGTTCAGCCTGTGTGAGAATCTTAAAGTAAAATAACATATCTGTATGGTTACCATATTTCCCTCTTGTCAAAAGAGGACAAAAGACATTTAATAGGATTCAAAAGAAAGAAAAAGAGGAAAAGTAAAGGACACATTTTTATATGTTAATAGAACATTTATGTTATAAATTTGAACAGGAAACACCATAAAACGTTGTGTGTTTGTTTTTTTCTTATGAAAATAAATGAATTTCAGAAGATAAGATTTTCTTTTGTTAACATTTTTTTAACAACCAATAAAAATAACAAAAGTAAATCTTTAATATTCTCACTTACAACAAATAAAAAAAGCAAATATATATCCAGGAGTTTTTCACATTTACATTAAAAACGTATCTCTCATAATTCTATTCTTGTGTGATTTTTAGAAGATTACTTTTTAAGTTACTATAAAAATGTTGAGAAGACATATCTCTGAAGTTATATTGCTCAAGATCTGTGAAAGTTTCAATAGTTAATTTCTATCTCATTTTCTCCACTGAGCATGTATAAAAGAGAAAAGTAGTTCAACATTTGCATTGTGAGAGAGAGAGGAAAGAAGCATTTAGCAACTTTTAACCGTTCTAAATACAGCTACAGTCACATTTTTTAGAGCTTCCAATTTATTTTTTCCATATTCATGTCACAACAATTTGTTAAATATTAAGTTGCTGTTTCCAATATATTTTTAAAATAACAGAATTCAAACATATAAATATTAATGGAGATAACTTTTCAGATGTTCATTATTTATGTTATATCTAAGGACTATAAAAATAAACTCCTAATAAACATACATGCCAATCTGTACGGTTTAAACATTGTTTGAGTTGTACAGCCATACAGGATTCTGTATGGTTTTTCAATAAATTTAGAAATGAAGAAATTTTTTTGCTTGTGATGACATATGTTTGAAATTCATAACTGGCAATGCAATAAATTCAATGTTGGTCAATAGGAAGCAGAAATCCTCTTGGGCTGTTCAAAATGACTTTTGGCCCAAATTCTAGGATTAGTAGATGTGATCGATCCATATGTAAACATGCTAAAATGTGCACATCGCAAAGGGGAGATTTTTTTTCATGAAAATTAGGCTTATCAAGAAGGAAAAGTTTGCATGCATTCAAAATAATTAAATCATGAAAAGGTTTTAAATGATACCGGTACTTTAAAAAAAATTTCCTTTGATTTTTTCTGTACCCTATGATTTTTTCATGCTGTTTTACAGTTCGTTTAAACTTTTGTATAGTTTTTAATCCCAACAGATAAGCATGAATGAAACATTTTTATTTAAAGTGCAGAAAAGGAAAACCTAAACATTTTTAAACATTTCATAAACCTGGTTGGGCCAAAATTTAAAGGCTATAAAAGTAAAAATGTCTGTAGACAAACAATATTTTTAAAATTTTCATAATTGATAATGTAAGTAGATTAAATAGTAATTTTAAACATGCATACAAACAATATTTTTAAAAAAATGTGTTATTAACTATGCAATTAGATAAAAAAAAAAGTAATTTTAAACTTGCATTATTTTATTTTAATAGATTCTTCGCTGGTTGATAACCTACTCATGTCTTGTAGCCCTGCTTTGTCTTATTTAGTTAAGGAATTAACTGAAGTTATGACATGTTCATGGTAGTTATATACAGTCTCATAGTCAGTATGTTAAAATATGAATCAGCATTTAAAATTTTAAGAAACAAACAGAATAAACCTAACAATAATAATAACAGACCTTTTCAAGTATTTAAAAAATTTACTCACACTTTAAAAAAACTGTGTGGATTACATCTAAATTTAACTTCTAATAGTTGTATAATAAATTTTATAAAGTGAAATCTTTTTGTTAAAAAATAATTATCTCAATAACCTCATTTTAATTTTTGGATTATGTAAAATAAAAATGTATGATTCCTTTACAGCAGGCCTGCACAACTCAAAATGTAAGACGGGCCGTAATACATTATGAAAACTTGTGGGCGTCAAAAGAAAATAGGACAGGACTTGTGCGGCCCAAAAGAATATAGATCAGAGGGAAAACTATCAAGAAAATTTTAAGAATAAAGAGTTTTTCGTTACCTCGCGGGCCACAAAGTGGGTGCTGGTGGGCCACATGCGGCCCACGGGCCGTATGTTGTGCAGGCCTGCTTTACAGTTTAAAAATGTATTATATCACTCAGTTATGATTTTAAAAAAATAATGTAGTACACAAATCATAATCGTTGTGACAATGTCATAAAAAAATGTGTGTACCATTGATAAAAAAATAATTTCTTTAGAAAATTAGACACTTATGATCAATAATGTATAGGCCTACAAGCAATTCACACATTTGAGTTATGTAGAAGATTAAGTGAAGTCTTTAAGAACTATGAACTATATGTTTTGTAAAAATGTTTAAAGAGATGTAATTATTGCTAGTAATTTAAAAAGATGTTCCCCATTCATAAATTAATCTCTTTTAATTATTTATGTTTGTTGTTAGCAAAGATTTTGCATATTAAATGGAACCATTTGGGCTTATTAAGTTTAGTTCCATTATTGACTAAATAACTCTAATAGATCACTAATATTGAGTAGATATAAAACTAATTATGTGAAGATTAAAGTAGGTATGTATGTAGGCTACCATACATATTTTTTAAAACTTTTTTAATTGCAAAGAATTTTGTGTGTAACAGGTCGAAATTCAATTTGAAGAATGAGGAAAACAAGTTACCATATACTATTTAAAGCACATGATAATGTTTGTAAATGATTGGATGTGTTGTTATAACTTGATATGCACAGAGTTAGATGCCAAGTGAACCAGAATTTTACTTGTGGACCGTAACAAATAGGATGTAATTTGCATAAATGTGACTGGGACATTGTGTGCCTGATTAGACTATAACAGAACTATGAATTTTCAAAATATCTTTAGCAGTGTTGATAGCTAGTTCACCAATAAAAAAACAAAGTTCAAACTACTAACATGTTTACTAAAAAGATAGCTTTAAAAAAAAAATGTTTTTGGAAGAAGACCCAGGCGCAAACAATTTTTATTTTAATGCCTACATCTAACAGCTGTTATGATTAGAGTCACACAGAATTGAACTGATTACTAAGTTTCTGCAAAGCAAATGCAATCTTGTTATTGACACATAAACAATTCCAGGCTAAAGTCTTTTTAGTCTGTTCTGACCTCTGAGGAATGCCCTTTTTAAATAATGAAAATGCCATGAATAATAATAAGGGGATTCATGATACATTGGTCACAATCATGTTGAGGCTGTTAAATGTTAAATTTTGTATTCAAATCTAAATTTTAATGTAATGAAAATTAATTGATAATTAATAGCCACCATGTCTTTGTGAAATGAACAATGTTAAATAGCCAGACACACATAGTTTTTTCAATTGAGTTTCTCCACCTCATACATTGTTAAATATGGTATGAACAATTTTGTGGATAAGTTAACTATTAACAGTATTTGATTCTCCTATTGAACTGAGGGATTAATTTATTTGTACATCTTAAGATACACTGATGTCCTCCAAATATTTTTTATTTTTATAACTAGCTGCCAGCAGTCAGACCAGTTCTTTGCTGAATTTCATAAGTCAACATGAACTTCTCATTGGTTACGTGGATAAATACAATATAAGACAATGCAATCCAGATTTTCAAAAAAACATTTTAAAAATTCTATGAGGACTGAATGAGTGATGTGAGAGCAATGGTTCTTAAACTTTTTTACATTACCTTACCCCTTTACAATTTAAAAACATTCCCGAAACCCTACCCCTATCCCCCATGGATAAAAAGTTTGAAATATAACATGTTAATACTTGATCTGTGTTAGTTTTCCTTCTTAATTGACTTGCTAGAAGATAAAAACATTACACCAGTATAAATATTGTGCATAAAAATTCATCACAAAATAAATCTGCTGCTGCTAATAATAAAAGTTCAAATAAATCTGTTTTCCCAGCTCTTCCTGCAACCCCCTGGCATGTCCTCCTGGTGAAGAATCCATGATGTGTTAGAGCTCTGTTTGATAAAATGCTTTTTTTGGGAAACAATCCTAAATATAAAAAAAATAATATCTTTACAAGTGTAATTTTTGTATGATTTTCCAGTGGTCGAGGAAACTGGTCAACTATTGTGCTAGTGTCCAGAAAAATGTCCTACACTGCAGTGAATGAGCCCATGTTGGACTTCGCCCCTGGAAGTCAGGAGAGAAAAGACTTGGAAAAAACTTTGCAGAAATATCTTGGTCAGACTATTGATGTGCCTATTGTTATTGGGGATGAGGAAATTCGAACTGAACAAGTCCGGAAACAAGTAGCAGTAAGATCATAATTAGTCAAACTATTTGTCTTCCTCTTATGTCTAGTTTAGGGTTAAGGTTAGTTAGGCTTTTGGTGATGTGGAAAGCCAGTCATCATGTGTTTATGTGGCATTAGAATTGAAGCATGAACCATCTTCTATTGCTAATAAAACTACTTGCTGAGGTCATCCATTGTTTTGTTTAAGTTAAGATAAGATGCTTTCATTGATAGAAATGAATAGATATTTGTTTTGATTAAATTGCACATATTGTTTTCAGTAAAAGTTGTGAAAGTCTCTGAGTTTTTGTTTTTCCCTAAAATTTGTCTGTGGCAAGGCGTTCAGTGATTCATTTAATTTGTGCTTAAAATAACTGTAAATACTGTAATGCGTATAGGTTCTTGAGTGCATGTTGGCATTTAGAACAGAGTCATGGGCACACAAATTCACACTAAAGATTTAGTTTAATTCATAGTAATTAATGTCCTCTCTAATGTTAGTATATCTCATTGAAAATCTTAACACCTAAATTCTACTTTTGAAGTAAATGATATTCAAATAATGTTCAATATTGTGTTGAAACAAAAAGAAAATCTGTTAATTTATTTTCTGCAGTTTAAAAATAAAGAAATCTGGGTGTAAACAAAGGTGAATTTATATGGAGTTGCTTAAAGGAATAGATAATTAAATATTTTGCTTTATGTAGATCTTTAACCTAGATGTAGTCTCGATCTTTAATCTGGAATCAGTCCTCCCCATATTACATTTAAAGAAATAGATATATGGGATTCTTATTTTAAAAAATGAATTTGTTAAACTTTAGAATCACTACCGGTAATTGAACATTGTCATCCATTAAAAAAAAAAAAGAGTGATTTGTTATTGCATTTTGTGAAATATTTCTGCCTCTTTTTCTGGCTTCGTATTAAACCATTAGCACTTGCTTTGCTATCAGGAAGTATGTTGTTAAAAAGGTTTTTTTCTTTTTCCCCAGCCTTTTGATCACAACTGGACAGTGGCTACTTTTTACCATGCAACACCAGTAAGTCAGTATTTTTGCTTTAATTGCAACTGAGGTACTTAGTGACAAGTATTCACAAAATATTGTTCTGAAAGTAAAATGAGGATGAATAATATAACTGAAAAATCTAGTTCTACTATTAAATGTAATCAAGCTCTACAGTAGTCACAATGATGGTCCTATTTAGACATCTGCCGTACCAAGTATTTTTTATCGGACATGCGTATTTTTGTTTCTTTATTTACAAATATCAGAAAATATTCTCTATTTTTTTAAAGACAAATTTTTTTTGTTTTTAAAGATTACACTTATAATACCCTTAAGAAAAGAAAATGAACCTTGAGAATTAATATTTAAATAAAATGGAAGTCATTTAGCTGGTTTCAATATTTTGTATATTGTCACAAACACTGGTTAATTTCATTTTAATGAATAATATAACAAAATCTATTATTATCAGGAAGTCATTAAGAAGGCAATAGAGTCTAATATGAAGGCCAGGTCTGACTGGGAAAAACGCCCCTTGCAAGAGAGATGTAATATTTTCCTCAAGGCTGCAGATTTGATCTCAAAAAAATACCGCATGGACCTGATAGCAACCACAATGATTGGCCAGGTAAATCAAGACTAAAAATAAACATTTTTTTTTATTTTTTAAAAAGGGATTATTTTGTTTTAGTTGACTGAAAGCCAGACCACTCACTGATGGACCACAACTGAATTAATGTAACAGGTCTGATCTATGAATAAATGCAAGCTATAAGACATTATATTTTCGATTATTTATCTAATTAATATCAGCCCAATTTTCAAATACTTTTATCTAATACAATAAGAGCAATTTTTTATGGTAACAAACAGAAACCCACCTTCTTCACAGAATTGATAGGCATTATTATTTTCAGGCCAAAAATGTCTGGCAGGCAGAAATTGATGCAGCTGCTGAACTTATTGATTTTTTGAGATTTGATGTCATGTTTGCTCAGGTTGGTATTTAATGTGTCATAAAAGTAGAGATAATTTATGACATCAAGTGATAGAAAGCTTTGACTCACTCTTTAGGTATACATGTAATGCTACATATTTGAAATCCTTTCCCCTTGTGCAAAGGCTATATAATGGTGATAATTAAATAATTTTGACAATAGTTTTGATAAGTCATTGAATGAGATTTAATTAACAACTGTACCGATTGTTAAAATTAATCCCATTAAGCCAATAAAACTGCCCCCCCCCCCCCCCTTGGGGTGTAGGTTTTTTGCTTTTCATTAATCTCATTAATGCAGAGGTAAAAACAAATAATTTAAAGACTCTCTACTACCAAATTTTGACTAAATGCAAATAACTTAGTTTAAATGGCACTAGACATAAAATTGAACCATGACTTTGTTTTGTTACAGAAACTATCTTTAGCAATGTTCATGATGATTAAAATGTTCACGAGGCGCAAACCTGTGCTGCAGTCTAAATTTACATTAAGACCTCTCTTACTGGTCCTCAGAAAACCACAGCTTATCAGCCCTTGAGCCCGTCACCAAACACAACACTGAACACCTTGTCATACAGAGGCCTTGAAGTAAGACGAGTTAATTTGAAAGACGTAATTCAGGCATATGTTTTTTGGTTAGAAAACATATATTTTAGTTCTCGTGACAAAAGATATTAGTGAAAATCTTTATTTTTCATGTTCCTGTTATTGAAATGCTATTGTTCTCATAACTTCTCTCTAATGCTGTTGTTCAAACAGTGATGAATAATCTGATTATATATGACATGAAAACATTGCAGGGCTTCTGGGCTGCTGTTTGCCCTTTCAACTTCACAGCTATTGGAGGACATCTTCCTATGGCACCAGCGTTGATGGTAATTATTATTTATGGCAGGGGGCTGAAAAATGATCTTTATCTAGATCATTGTTTTCAAATATTTTGTTTGCCCGTGGTCTACTTCTACATTTTATTTGCCACTGCTACCTTTAATATTAATATAAAAACTTATTTTTTTATATACATGAAGACCTTTTTTACAAAAAAATTTGTGGCAACCCAAGAAATATGCTGGGGACCTATGAGCCTTGCCGAGAAATGCTGATTTAGATGGATGATGCTGAAATCTGTTTTTTTAGATCAATTATTTCAGCTTAACAGCACTTCTTTTATTTCAATGATTTGTTAATATATATTAAATATTAGCGGTATAATAAAAGTGCTTCCAGACTAATAAAATTGACTTACTGATCACCTTTTCGAGGATTGGCTCTCAACAGCCTAAATGAACAACTTGAAAAACTTGTAAGGAAGTTGTAACCAGTAATCATGTTGTAACCAGTGAGCAAGTTGTAACCAGTGAGGATGGTGTAACCAGTGAGCAAGTTGTAACCATTGAGCATGTTGTAACCAGTGAGGACGTTGTAACCAGTGGGCAAGTTGTATCCAGTGAGCAAGCTGTAACCAGTGAGCAAGTTGTAACCAGTGAGGATGTTGTAACCAGTGAGCAAGCTGTAACCAGTGAGTAAGCTGTAACCAGTAAGCAAGCTGTAACCAGTAAGCATGTTGTGACCAGTGAGTAAGTTGCAACCAGTGAGCAAGCTGTAACCAGTGAGCAAGTTGTAACCAGTGAGTAAGTTGTAACCAGTGAGCAAGCTGTAACCAGTGAGCATGTTGTAACCAGTGAGAAAGTTGTAACCATTGAGCAAGTTGTAACCAGTGAGCAAGTTGTAACCATCGAGCAAGTTGTAACCAGTGCGCAAGTTGTAACCAGTGAGCAAGTTGTAACCATCGAGCAAGTTGTAACCAGTGCGCAAGTTGTAACCATTGAGCAAGTTTTAACCATTGAGCAAGTTGTAACTGTGCTATTTAGACTAAGAAAGAAGGGAGTGTGATTAGTAAAATAGATTTGTCCTGTCTGACTTGTCTCACTGCTATGTTTGTGTCTAGGGAAATGTTGCACTGTGGAAACCTTCAGATACAGCTGTACTGTCCAATTATACAGTATTCAAGATTTACAGGGAGGCAGGCTTACCACCAGGGGTTATTAACTTCCTGCCAGCTGATGGCCCAGTTTTCGGGGATACAGTTTTATCATCACCAGATTTCGCAGGCTTAAATTTTACTGGAAGTGTGGGGTACGTTTCTTTTGAATGTAAGAAACTTTGTTTCTCCTGCATTTTGCTTCTTTTATGTGATAATAATGGGGGATTGACTGCAGTCAGGTTAGTTAGAAGGAAAGATATGAACCAAGGGATAGGATACCTACAAAAAAAAAAAGGACATAAAAAAGAAAAAAAATGTGTCATCCACAAGCCTTTATTGTACCATACAAACAATGCTTAATAGAAATATAAAAATTAAAATAAACACTTTGCTGAAATTTAGTATACGAAAGGACAGCAAGAAGAATGCAATGGACCATTAGTAGGTAAGAGAGTTAACATATGCGATATGGGAAGGAAGAGAGGAAAAGTAAGTCCAGTAAAGGAGGGGCCGGAAAAAGATTGAACGAATAAAAGGGAACGTGACATTCATGCCAATGTTATGTCAAGGCCCCATAAGTCTGTATCAGTTGGTTCTCTAAGTTCACCCCGGCAGGCGCGTTAGTACAGAAAACAATGGTGGTGATGGCCAAGCCCCTTGAGTCCTTGCGGTCGCTTCTGTTGAAGTGTTTTGAGGTTGGACACTGTTTACCTTGTGCAAATAATCAAAGGTGTTCATTACATCTGTCTGAGAGATGCCATCCAGTTTTGCACAGATAAGCCATATACCTGCATCATTTAAATGTATAGTTGATTCACTGATGCTAATAAAAAAGAAGATGATTCTCTTATTAAAGTGTTAGAAAGGCTAATTTTGGATTTTGTGTATAACCCAAATTTTGTACATAAGTTATAAAATAAATATAAATTATAATAATTTTTTTTTTAAAACTAACCATCAAAATGCCATCAGTAAAATACTTGTGATCAACTGATTAAACTATTTAAATTTTTAGTACCTTCAAGAAATTATGGAAACAGATTGCACTCAACCTTGACTTATATCGAAACTACCCTAGGATAATTGGAGGTAATTGCCCTTAAAATGTTATTGTTGGACTTATATTGAAACTACCCTAGGATTATTGGAGGTATCTGCTGTTAAAATTGAATTGTAGACTCTTTTAAAAGGTAACTAATTACCATGAATTTTAAATTTCTTCCTGTTGTTGCATGTTGATCTTGTGTATTATTCAGTATTGGTATGCTATCTCACAAGTGAAAACAGCATCACACCTTTATATTTATGAGAAATACATGAAAATATTAAATAACAGGATGTGTTGATAATTATTAATAACTGTTCATGTTTACTGGAACAATAGCCCTGGATGAATGCTGCACTGAATCTCAAAGCGATGTAGAAAAGGACCATGATATTTTCAGAGAAAAAAATTCTCAATAAGTTTAGCAAGCACAGTTTATGACTTGGTAAAAACAGTTTCAAATACAAAGGCTCTGTTCACTTGATGCTCACAGTACCCTCATTTGCTCACCTCATGCTCACAGTACTCAAAGTTAGAGGAAGAGACAGAGACCAGAAAGAAAACACAATAACATAGAGAATGTTCTGTACACAGACTCATTCTGCCAAACTTGTGAACAAGGATCCATTCTGACAAAACTGATGATAAGCCCTATCAACATCACTAATACGCAATTGCTGCACTTGGCATTTCACTTTAATCCCTATACACAAGTTTCCATGTCCAGCCTCTTAGCAGCTTATATTTCTGAAGACAAACTGAGGTAAAATACATCAAAACTGAGATTTATTCGATTTGGACTGTCTTTAAAAAAAAATCACTCCAATGTCCAAGTTGTAAACGATATTACCCACAAAATTCCCCTAGTCTTAAGATGGCCTCCACTCAATCATACATGCATTATCCACCCCTGCTCATCAATCACACACTGAATAACTTTTTAATTCCTTTTTAAATTATTCCTCAAGATTATCTTCTACATTGGCGATTTCAGAAAAGCTTATTTTTTAATTTTTACTCAAGTATGGTATTTAAACTCTTAAGTTTTATTTTTCAGAGTGTGGTGGCAAAAACTTCCACTTTGTGCATCCATCTGCTGACATTCAATCTATTTCCACTGGGTCTGTTCGTTCAGCCTTTGAGTACAATGGCCAGAAGTGTTCAGCTCTTTCTAGGATGTATGTGCCTCAGTCTCTCTGGCCAGAGCTGAAATCCAAGCTTTTGGAAATAATGAAAGATGTCAAGATGGGATCTCCACTAGACAGGGAAAATTTTGTCACAGCTGTTATTGATGATAAGGTAAACTGATTAAATTTGACTTTATCTCATATAATGTTATATTATATAAGTGTTTTTAAAATTTAGGTTAAAATTTAAATGACAGTTTGTGTTGTAGCAAATCTGTGAGCAAAGAATAAAAGGTGATTCTTCATGAATAAATCATTAGCATTAAGCTTATGTATTATTGTAAAATATGTCTTGGGTTGTAGGAGGTGAAGTTGAACTAAAGCTTATTGTGTTGTAAACTTATGCAAAGCTTATTGCTGTATTAATAATACTGTATATTGGTTTTTGAAAAATAGTTCCACTTTTTATTTATAATTAGTCAAGTTGCATTACTAAGGTAGCACTTCCCTTAAAAATGTGTTTATTCAAATATAGAAACAATGGAGTTAATTAATATATTATTAGCCTATATCAGACTAATAGTAATAGTCAAAATAATAAATTTCTATGTTTAGGCCTTTGCAAGAATTAAAAACTACATTGAGTATGCCAAGTCTAGATCTAGTATGACAATTATTTGTGGAGGGCATTATGATGATAGGTGAGTTGGATTTTGTGTACCTCTCTGGTACAGCTAAATAGTTAACATAACTTTTTTTTCAAGGTGGTCTCCTTTTTTTTTTTTTTTTTTACTTCTGTCATTTTCCAATGACTACTTATACAGATCTAGATTTTATATTTTAAGTTTTTGAACAATTCCACTCTTTCAAATCATTTTTATATTTTCTAACAGTAAAGGTTATTTTATTGAGCCCACAATCATTGAGACAAGGGATCCACTGGATAAAATTATGCAAGAGGTAAATTTAAATGGATATCAAGATAAATTTACTAAGTTCCTCAAAGTTGTGCTATTATTATTTTTATTATTAATGGTTTTATATAGCGCGGTAACCCAGCCTAGGGCGGGGCTCACCATGCTGTGTAATGTATATTATAAATATTTAAATTAATAATCAGACTCAAACCAACATTTATTTTATATCTTTGGATACTGTGTGTGACTTCATCTACTTTCAAGACTTTATTAGTCCCAATATATCGGTTTGAGGATATTAATTATTTCTTTTGTTTGCAAATTGCTGTTGATCCTTATTTTTATACAAACTTTCTCCTTCTAGTGTAACTAAAATATAAATTATTGTTACTGAAATTTGACATTTTTTTAAACAACTCTTATCTTTGTGTTCATTTCTAACAAACACATATTGATATGTGGTATATGTTAGTTTACCTTTCACTTCTTTCTCCCAATGTACATGCCATTTAAGCTTTAAAAAGTCTTTCTTTCTGCAATATATATATATATATCATTTAATATTAAAATTTTTGTTAAAAAAGCAACCATACACCTGAGTGGCAAAGAGTTAAGTTAAAAAATGTATTGCTTTTTAAACTAAATTAATTTCTGTCTGCAACTGCAACTTTTTAAATACAATTTTTAATGATTTATTTATATAGAAATAGGAATTACAATATGTTCCTATTCATGCACTAAAATATATTTGGTTACATTTTAACTGCTCACAATTTATTGTAGCTTTAAAACTATTTGTGTACCTTTGATCTAGGAAATCTTTGGCCCAATATTTGCAGTATATGTTTACCCAGACAGCAAGTTAAAGGAGACAATCAAATTGGCCCAGACCACATCACCATATGCACTGACAGGTGCAATTTATGTACAAGAAAAGTATGTTTACATTATCCCTGGTTACATAGAACATGTTGTCGTCAAATCAACCATTGCTGTGAACCCCTTTTCACATTTTGTATCCTTTCATCAACTGAGCTCAAAGTGCATGTCAATAAAAGTACTATTCATACAGCCCATGTAGGGCTTTGGCCTGCCTCACAACATCCTTCCCCTCAGACTTAACTGATGCTTTTACATCATACTTTTACTTTCTGTGCTTGAATTCCCAGCAATAAAATTACTAGTGTTTCAAAATTAGTATTTTATGTTCTGTTTTGGGTTTCAATTAGGTGGCTACATAAGATGTACCCATTTCTATGAAGTATGTCAATGAATTATTTTTTCACTGCTCTATATTCAGTTTTAATTACAATGCTTCATCCATGTGTCATTTACTTAAGCGTATTTGATTTTAAAATAGTGTTGCACAATTATGAACCTTAATGTTTTTGTGTGTGTGTGTTGATAGGTAACATTTTTTTAATGAGTTGATTTCATGTTTTTTTAAAAACAGAGCTGCCAAAGAAGAACTGATTGAGGCTTTTAGATATTCTGCTGGCAATTTCTACATAAATGACAAGAGCACAGGTTCTGTTGTTGGTCAGCAACCATTTGGTGGGGCTAGACTGTCAGGTACAATTAATACTTCTGCTTTTTACTTAACGTTTTATATGCACAGGATGTTTCATCCTGATTGCATAATGTATTTATATTTTATGACTTCCTCTTGTATGAAGAGTTCATAAAATTCAGATCAATTAATAGGGCAAGGCTCAATAGGATGAATAGGAACATATAAAGTAAAAAAAATAATATAGGACTAAATAGTTATGGTTTAAAGGTTTAAGGGCTGATCAAATCAATTTTTTTTTTCTTTAATTTTTGCTCTGTCATTATTACCATACAATAATATTTCTATATTTAAGGCACAAATGACAAGGCAGGTGGTCCTCATTACATGGCAAGATTTACCTCCCCTCTGTCAGTGAAAGAAACATTTGTCCCTCAAACATCATGGCGCTATCCTTCCATGGAAAAGTAAACTACAATGGGAATTATATTAAGGAGCACATGATGTAGTATCTGTTTTTGTTCGGTAGCAAGATTTACCTCCCCTCTATCAGTGAAAGAAACATTTGTCCATCAAACATCAAGACTTTGTCCATCCACAGAAAAGAAACCACATATGTAGTTGATGAATGTTTAAATAGTTTACCAGTTCTATGGTATTTGAATCTTTTTAAGTTTTGCGATTTACCAAATTGCTAATTATTTTTACAATGATATAATACTTGTTAAAGAATTCTAAAGAAATTAGTTTTTCCTTTCTAGTCTGTAAACTGTGTTATTTCTTTAAAATATTTTCTTGATTTCAGTTGTTGTCATAATGATAAATAAGCAAAAGTTCCACTGGGTTTTAAACCAATCAGCAATGTGGCATTTTTGAAATGTAGCACAAAAAAAGAATCTTCAAATGATATTATGTTTTATGTTCTGCCAGTTCTTCATTTTGTTACTGGCACATTAAAAGCAATCTCAAAATATTTTTTAAAAGCTGCACTAATTTAAGGCATTCAATCGAAATTTTATTATGTTATTTATACAATGAAATATGTACACTTTCTTTTATCCGGTATTTGCTAATGTACCTGTATTATATGCTAAAATCATCGAGCAGTTATTCAATAATTCTTTTTACAAATTAGTTATTAATAGTAATTTTGAGAATTTTAAGTCTAGAAAATAAGTGTAGTTCATTTAAAAAAAATTAAAACAAGTTCGAAATATTTTTAAAAAAAAAATTGCTTGAATATTTTGCAAAAAAATCAAAACAGCTTGAAACATTTATTTTGAAATATTTTTAGACTTCTGTTTTCTTTTATTTATTGTTTAAACTTTATTGCATTGTTAACCTTATAATCTCATCACTTTTTAATTGCAATCTCATTTTAATAATGTCTATGAATCTTGATGCCTGTCAATTTTACCCCATTTACATTATCTGTTTTATTTTATTGTGTGATAGCTCTGGCCACTGGGCTAGAAACAATTGTTACTCATTTTCTGTGTGATAGATGATAATTCTCATTTCAGCCTGTTTTAAATCTTAAAAACTCATCTATGTGATAGTCACCTTGGATTCTGCCATTAATTTAAATGTTCAGTTTAAATCATGTTATAACTTTTTGTGCCGTTCAAATTATATTCAAGTCTTTGCGATGTTGAAATTTTTAAATATCAAAATTGTAATTAATCAAATTATTTAATCTAAAAATAATCCACATTTTTAAAGAAAATTCATTTCAATCAGCCATCAAAAATTGTTTTTTAAATTATATTTGAAATACATCGAAATAATTCAACCTAAATTTTTATTTAAAATGTCTCACTTGATAATATTTGACATAATATATATATACACTTCACCGATATTATGTGGTTGAAATATATGAAACTTCATTCTTTTACAAGTAGAAAGATATTTTTTAAGATCTGTTAAAATACATTTTAAAAAAATTTATTACCGGTATTATAAATTTTGTGGAAGATAACATAGTTACCTTTTTCACATTCATGCTTTATTTATGGCTCTCCTTTTTTCTTCCTTTCATGAGGTGAAGGACAATATATTACTAATTACTATTACACTTTAAAAATAAAAAATTTACCTTAACTACCACAGATATTTATTGATACCAATAGTTTTTTTTTTTAACCAGTGCACATGGATTGTTGGTTTTTGGGTTTCATTTCTTTCTATCTTCTCATTATGTTTTACTCAAGTGTGCCTTTTTTTCTGTTTAAAAATATGAACATTACATTTAAGTCATATAATTTTGTTGCTTTTTAAAATAAATCCTAAATCCCTTTAATTCTGATGCATGCAAGATGAAAAGTAGATTTATTTCACAGGCGATACCCATATTTATTTATTTATTTATTTAGGCATTTTTATATAGCGCTTATCATAAAGCTCTAAGCGCTTTACAGTTATTAAAACATGTAAACTAAGTAAATACAAATGAGACACTAGGATAGTAACTACTATTCTATAGAAACAATGAAAATGGCTATAAAAAGAGGACACTTTGACACTTCAGGATTAAACCGAAACAGAAAATCAAAACAGCATATATGTACGTACCACTGTTTTTATAAAACAAAAATCCTTCTAATACCTGTACCTGCTAAAGTATTCAACTTTACTTAATCAAATGTATTTCATGTATTTCTTGATGTAAACTTTGTAAATGTTAGGTAGTGATAGCGCATAGAAAATCTTCCTTTTTTAACCAAGATAAAATTACTATTACTTTTAGTATGATGTTACTAAAGTTTCTGAGAACACCAGCGTTTGAAAGTAGAACCGGTACAGAAACATTGGCTTTTAATTTAATTACTTAACTTTAACCATATGACTCTCAAGCTGTTGTAAACATTTTAAGTTTTTATTATAAATTTATCTTTTTTAACACAAATATTATTATTATTGCTTGCACTATCGGTATGCAAAATGACATACATACTACTGGGTATTTTAAAAATATTAAAAATAATAAAGACTCTCTTTTGTCATGTGGTACCAGTAGTGAAAAACAAGGGCAAATTTATTTGAAACTAGTGTAAAAACAAATTTAGTTTTAAATTATAAACTAAAAGAAAAAAAAGAATGAATGCCAGCAATTGCTATGAGGGGTTAAAATATTTTTTGTGGTTGAAAGTGATATAAATATAAAACTTTGATTACTGATTTACACCAAATGTTTCTGTTGTTGTAGCCTACTTTTAAAAGGCTTTTCCCACACAATCAAAGTTGAAGACTTACCAATTATGTGATGGAGAGCATACAATCAATGTCAGGAAATAGAACCTGGTGATACTTGTTAGGCAAATAGGTGCCATATTTAAGCTTGCTAACCAAATTGTGATTTTGAAACAATTCACTCACAATAGACTATTTATGGGTGTCTTTAGGCATGCACACCATGTGAAGTTATAAATGGTTTTGCATTGCTGAAATTGTATTCCTAGTTGATTTTCTTCTTAATTTTTTTAACCTGTTTACTCTAGAGAAATTTGACATTTTTATGCTCAAGCCTTTAAAAAATGTGTACCAGTAACACCAAACTTTTTTTTTTAAGTGTTCAAAGTTACCAAAGTATATGCTTGCACTGTATGGTTCCTTGATGCATACAATATCAAGCACATTAGAATCCTCATAGAAACATCTTGATGCATAATTTGAATTGTTTCAAATATTACAATTAATTGCATTTGGCACTAAATGTTGATGCCTGTGTTTTTAGTAGCCTCCTGTATTCATTGGTTCAGAGAGTATTATTAAAATTTTGCTCCACATGAGATTAAAAATGTCAAGAAATTATGCTATATTCTGTGAAGATAAACTTAATTTATATATTCAACAGAACAATTTTTAAACAGCTCCAATGGTACTGAATTTGCAACAGACATCAATTATGAATGTTGCATTGTTAATACATTGTCATTAAGTAACAACCAGTCCAGCAATAGTTTGAAAAAGTTTAGTTACATTTTTTTAAAGAAAGGATCAATCAATTTTTAAGATAATACCATTAAAGGGAGTATGTATATATATAAATTATAACCCAAAATAATGTATCCAAGAATTATTTACTGTTAAATCCATTTTGAATGCCTAACCCTTTGATTAGGTTATTATGCAAGGGATGAAATAAAATTTCAATATGCTGATGATCTATGTTTGCTTTTTGTTCAATTAAAAAATGTGTTGTATATTTTGTAAATGTCACCAAATCAACTCAACATTTTAACGTTTTCTTTCTGTAAATTGGATTTCTTTTATATTAGCTAAATAGAGGTCCGCACGCAACTTGAGGCACACAAGATTTTTTTCAATAGCATGCTGATTACAAAAATACAACAAAAAAAAAACCTTGTAAAAAGACTGCATAAAAATCTTCTGAATTATTCCATTTATTTAAACATATATTCATCAATGTTCTTTCATGAACTACTTATTTTAACGTTTTCTTTCTGTAAATTGGATTTCTTTTATATTAGCTAAATAGAGGTCCGCACGCAACTTGAGGCAAACAAGATTTTTTTCAATAGCATGCTGATTACAAAAATACAACAAAAAAAAAAAAACCTTGTAAAAAGACTGCATAAAAATCTTCTGAATTATTCCATTTATTTAAACATATATTCATCAATGTTCTTTCATGAACTACTTAAAATTATTTCAAAATAACAATATGCAACAATGCAATAAAAAAAATCAGCAAGACAATTATATTAAAACAAGTCTTAATGCTCATCAACTATGATTATCAAACACATTTAATATAAAACTATTGGATCTCAGGCACCCACAATTTTAGATAAACTTTGGAGAATGTTGGTCATTTAAACTTGAGACAATCACACAAAATCGTAAAGCTACACAGAAGTACATCATACCAGAAAAACAAGTATAAGCAGAGTTTTGTTAGCTAAGAATTTAATCAGCTCGAAACAATTTTCCTTCAATAATAAGTTGGAATTGTTAAGAATGAAAATAATTAAGAAAGTTAAACATTTTCGCTACCCTATTTGTAGGTACTAACGATATCCTTACTAATGAGTATATATATAAATATATATTATATATATATTTATATGTCTTTCTAGCTTGAACCTTTATCTTGTAGGATGCCAGGACAACAGAATATCTTTATACTTTTTAGGTGCTGAAAAAAACAACAATTTTAGTAAGAAATATTCAATTTCAATCTAGAACAATGCAAATAGTATTTATACATGTAATAAAGGTGAGATGAAAAAATACAATATATGCCTAAAGTAATTTGCGAGAGGAAAAACTATTGAGATAACATGATGTTCGAAGAAGGTTCTTAATCCAATAAGTTTAAGACACTATAAAACTAATAACTCATAAGTATCTTTGACATACAGTTTCAGTAAAAAGTTATGGACTTGTTTATTTCAGAGATTAAAAAAAACTATTGATCTGTTACTATTAGTTTAAAATTACAACAAGCAACAAAGTTAATGCCAGATAATGCAAATATAGGCTATTTAAAATAATTTAAGCATATATAAAAAATCATTTGATAACATTGGGCTCAGAAAGTTTTAAAAAGTTCACTGGCTTTAGCAAAAACATTCAAAAAAGATTTCTATTTATTTCAAGTATATACTCCTAAATATAAATGATTCACAAGCTTTCCTTTCACTTTCCTTTAAATTTCCCAAATGAATGCATTGATTGTTAGGATAATATGTAGCATTTTTACAAACTTACCTGAGCAGGGGAAGTCCTCAGGATGTTTAGAAATATAATCTTCAATAACTAACACCTTCAAATTTCTTCGCCTATCATGGAACTCATCTATTAAAGTCCCAGGATATATACCAAGAAGTGCAGCAGCTATATGCTTCAAAGGAGCTGTGGATAGTGTTTTAAATTGATGTACGAGTCAATCCATTTGATAAATATTTTATCTGTATTTGCCAAGAAAAAAAATGACAGAGAAGGGGTTGTAGAAAATTCTGCATTTACAATAATGCATACAATCTTTGAAACTGAGGAAAAACTAACATAATAACTTAAATAATACAATGTAGAGTAGAAATGACTTTGTATCAACATATTTGAAGGGGTCATCTTTATAGTCATGTATGTGCTTATGTTGGTCACCCTCATCAACTTTTATGGAGACCTAAAAAAGAATGTACTGGTACAAACAAAGAAAAATAGCTGTGCCCAGGGCAAAGTCTACAAAGTTCTCTCCTCACACTCTCCCAAAATAAAAATAAAATCTTAGGCCTATTTATGACATTTATATTTTACCCAAACAGCAATGCTAGAAACTTCTACACTTTTTGTTATAATCATGTAGCTTAAAATTTTTTTTTTTTACTTATTACATCGGAGCTTTGAATGTTATTAAAATAAAATTTAAAAAAAAAAGAAATACGAAAAGGCTAAAATATATTATAGGCTATAGGCCTAAAGCAACTTGTAGTTATAGTGCTTGCAGATTATCCTTTCTTAGATTAAATGATCCTAATACTTAATGTGATTTCCCACCACTTTATGCACCTCTGGCTAAGTTCTAGTTATTTATATTACTGCATTTACAATAACTAGGTTTATGACATGAGATGAGCATTTAAATCATTAAGAAAGTACAGATAGCCTATAATTATAAATTTGCAGTAAGTATATTAGCCTTTTGGTTTAGTAATAAATAGAAAGTCCCACAAAGGCACTATGTTGGATTTATATGCAGTGGCGAACATAGTAGGGGGGGGTTTGCGAAGCAAGTAACTTGGTCACGCGGCACAATAAGGGTGGCAGCAGTTCCAAAGTTATTTTTATTTAAAGAATTAATAACATTTACTTTTGGAATTTTTGTTTTAAATTTTATTGGTATTATCATGCTAATTTAACATTACTGTGATCTTGCTTTTTAATGTTAAAATACCTGCTAAAAAATTGGAGGCAAAAGCTGAAATCAAGGACCACAGGTCATTAAAAAACATTGTATGGTACTTCTACATTCTTAGCTTGGAAAGAGTTAAAAAGTTCTGACTGCTTGGTGCTACTTTTTCAAAACGATGTGGCTATAGGTACCCGAGTACCCATCGTCGCCAATGACTATTCGCACCCGAAAGTCTTAGTAATCGAAAAAAAAACATGATCCGAACAAGAGGCTTAATAATCGACAAGTTTGCCGCGCTTTCTTTAAGAAAAATGGAGGTTGGCAGCAATTTTGACACCTATGCGTCTTTTGAAGACGAATTGAATTATTTTTGTAAAGAACACAATGTGTGTTTCACTAAAAGATCGTCCGAGAAGATGAAAGATCCCAATTTGGAACACCTTAAATATGAATATATTCATTAACCCATTCAATCTAGGGCGCTCAGAAATTTTATCACTGAAAACTTTAGGTTAATGTTAGGGTTACCACCCTTACGATAGAAAGGTTTTGAAAAAAATTAAGACAAATCTATTTAACAGTATAATTAAATTTAATAAATTCTAAATAGTCCAAACAGAGTTTTATATCTTAATTTTGAATATTGTGACATATAATAAACTTAAAACATTTATCCCCAAGGTGAAGGTTAGTTATTTTTATGTACACCGCGGTGAGCCCAGCCCTAGGCTGGGGTACCGCACTTTATAAGACCAATGTTCCCTCTAAGGTTTGTTGTTTAGTGTGCAAAATCCTACAGTTATGGGCAAAGTTTTACAGCATCAATTTTTTTTGTGTGCAAAATTTTACAGTCCAGAAACACAAACACACATTTACAGGGAAATTTGCTGCGCGGATACTCAAAACTGCTGCGCAGCACCTGTGAGGTGGCTGCGCGGCAGCGCAACATAAAGGGAACATTTTATAAGACCACTAATAATAATAATGTTTGCAGAGCATATTTTTTACATAATACTTATTATTGCAAAGTAACTTTATGATATGATTAGAATTATTGCCCAATATCCAGAGGTTTTATTAATGGGTTTCACATATAAAACCAATAAATATTTATATCCACTTTTGACTGTAATGGTTATTGATGGAGAGGGCATGGGCATTCCTGTTCTTCATGGTTTTGTAAAAAATGAAGATAAGGAATCTATTTCTCTTTGTTTGCAGCTTCTTCTGAAGAATTCTGATGCCAGTCTTTTCAAGTGCTTTGTGGTTGACAAAGACATGGCTGAAATCTCTGCTATAAATGATCTGTTTCCAAATGTACCTGTTAATCTATGTCATTTTCACATTAACCAGGCTGTGCACAGGTTTCTTTCGAAACATGTAGGTCCTGAGCATGTTAAGCCAATTCTTGAAGGATTTATGTCTCAAGTTTATACTGAGTCGTGTGATGAATTTTTAAAGTTGATGCAAGACATGAAAGATACTCTTCCTGATGTAGCTTTGGAGTATTTTGAGTCGAACTGGTGGAGTAAGGCCCATTTATGGGCAGCATCATCCAATGCTGATGTTTTAAGACTCCATGCGACAACAACAAATCACTTGGAGTCTTATCATGCCAAAATAAAAAAGAGTTTGACTCATTATCTTTCTTTTTCATCAGCTCTTCGTAACCTTATGTCTTTTGACAACTGCAAAATTACAGTATGTGATCATTTAAGATTGCTTGCTGCAAACACAGCTCAGTATACGTCATCTGATAATGATGAAAGTGTAAATAAGATTGAAAGTGTTGCTACTTCCTTTGCTGCTGCTCTATTGCTCAATCAGCTCAAATTGTCATGTGGGGAATTTAAGTATTTATCATACATGACTGATGATATGATTAGAATTATTGCCCAATATCCAGAGGTTTTATTAATGGATTTCACATATAAAACCAATAAATATTTATATCCACTTTTGACTGTAATGGTTATTGATGGAGAGGGCAGGGGCATTCCTGTTCTTCATGGTTTTGTAAAAAATGAAGATAAGGAATCTATTTCTCTTTGTTTGCAGCTTCTTCTGAAGAATTCTGATGCCAGTCTTTTCAAGTGCTTTGTGGTTGACAAAGACATGGCTGAAATCTCTGCTATAAATGATCTGTTTCCAAATGTACCTGTTAATCTATGTCATTTTCACATTAACCAGGCTGTGCACAGGTTTCTTTCGAAACATGTAGGTCCTGAGCATGTTAAGCCAATTCTTGAAGGATTTATGTCTCAAGTTTATACTGAGTCGTGTGATGAATTTTTAAAGTTGATGCAAGACATGAAAGATACTCTTCCTGATGTAGCTTTGGAGTATTTTGAGTCGAACTGGTGGAGTAAGGCCCATTTATGGGCAGCATCATCCAATGCTGATGTTTTAAGACTCCATGCGACAACAACAAATCACTTGGAGTCTTATCATGCCAAAATAAAAAAGAGTTTGACTCATTATCTTTCTTTTTCATCTGTTCTTCGTAACCTTATGTCTTTTGACAACTGCAAATTAACAGTATGTGATTGTTTAAGATTGCTTGCTGCAAACACAGCTCAGTATACGTCATCTGATAATGATGAAAATGTAAATAAGATTGAAAGTGTTGCTACCTCCTTTGCTGGTGCTCTATTGCTCAATCAGCTCAAATTGTCACGATCTGTTCTGTACTCTGTTGTCCCTGGAGAGGCAGAACTTTTTTCAGTAGCTTATAAGGAACATATTTTTAGCTCAACATCAGTTCAATGTAATTGTTCATTTGCTAAAAAGATGGCATTACCTTGCAGACATATTTTTTCAGTTCGAAGACATTTACAGCTTCCAGAATTTTGTTCAGAGTTAATTCCATGCCGTTATAGCAAACATAGTATTCCTAGAGTGGTTGCTTCTACTTCTAGTGGTTCAGTAACTTCTCACATTGTATCTACTAGAAACAATAATTTTAAGACTCAAGAGGGTCGGTTTAATCATGCTAAAAGAATTTGTATGGGCTTGGCAAATTTTTTGGCGATTCAAGGAGAACAAGATTTTGTAGAGAAAATATCCTTTCTTGAAACTACTATAAGTCTCTGGAAAAGTCCTGAAAATTTAGATGAAAATGAATCGGGGTCACAACTTGATGAAGGTGAACCACAAACAAGTTTCATTCAAAGTCAACTAATTGATTTTGTTGATATAAATGACATTCATTTTTCCCACGAGGAAACAGTTGCTGCAAATAATTTAGAAAAAATTGAAACTGAAAATGGTATTAGTTTCTTTGGGAAAGTTAACTTTGACAGAGTTCGCCCAAAGGGGCGACCGAAGGTAAAACAAAATTTTACCCTGAAAAGAAAAAGATAGCTGCCCCAACAATTTTCAACCACTTGTATTAAATAAATATGTAAATGTTTTTAATGTTCTGAAAATTATAACTTTTTGGTGTGTAAATAAATGGCTTGCTATTCAGATGTCATTTGTGGTAGTTTATTTTAGTTAATGTTCCTTTAGTTAAATTGAAGAATTAAGTTTACAAACATATAGTCCATTCAATTATCTTTCATTTGATACCAAATTTTGTCTTACAACCTAACAATAATTTTTTGGAATGTGTTCACGATGTATGCATCCAATGTTGTTTCAGTGTCTTTTTCAGCTTTTATAGATATAGCATTTTCATTATTTTTTTTCTGACATCAATTGATGAATCAGGAGGAATAGTTTTGGAACTACATGATTGAAACTTTGCATGCTTATTTAAATTGAGATTCTTTACTTTATGATGGATTGTTTTTAAACAAAAGTCTCATAGGAAAAGTTTTCAGAATGTTTGTATTTATGCATTTTATATATTAGGTTCGTGTGTTAATTTTTTTTTCTATCTTTTCTGTCTTAGTTTTCTAATTGTTTTTTAAATCATGAAGGATATATGCACATGGTGTATGCATCCTATATCATTCATGCAGCCTCTAATTTAAAAAAACACAATTTTATAAATTTTGTTGATTTTTCTCAATTTTGCATTTTCGGATTTTTAAGGAATGCCAAATGAATCGGGAGGAAAAGTATTCTAGCTACAGCCTAAAAACATTGCATGCTTCTTTTCATTGATATTCTTTGCCAAATTCCAGAGGCTTTTTTTTTTTATATATATATATATCCAACTAGAAAGTTTTTTAACATTTTTACATTTGCTACCCCTGAAGAGTTCTCAAATATTTATGTGACCCCCACATACATGCCATTTGTAACCCTTCCAATAACTGCTGTGTAATAATAATCTTTAAACTTTTTGTCAATGTTATTCTTAATGTGTATGCCAAGTTTCATTTACTATACAGTACAATAAGTTACAATACAATGCAATACAAATTTGTTTTTATTCATTTTGCCTAAAGTCAAAATTGGTATTAAATGGTTAATTTTTTGCAATAAAAGTCACAACAAATTTTTCTTTAAATTTTAGTGGATTTTTGTCTTTCTGTTTGTGTATGGTTTGTATGTACTGTATTTTTTTCAATGGCTCTATTTATTTAGGTTATCAGTATTTTATTTTCAATGTGGCATGACTTAGTTGCCTTGAAACCAAACTCCCTTCACAGATCACATATATTTGCTCCCACTCAATCATTACGTCTGTACTTAAATGAAGAAATGATACAGTACAAACAATAGTTAACTGTACGGGTACCAACAAGGAAGGTGAGAAAGTGAAAGGAGACAAATGGCAAAGGAATGATGTGACCTAATTGAATAAGTTTATTGGCTGCCTATTCCATACTGGCCCCTAATTTATTTTATGGATTACTTGAGTACAGAACTCAAATAACTAACAACCAAATAAAATTTTCTCAAGTCAGTTTTTTTCTTCTATTAAATTATGTACCAGTGTGTTAGACCCAGTAGACAGATATGGTAAAAAAAAAAAAAAAGACTAGTCCTCCAAAAATAAGTCTCCTTCTCATACTTTATACAATGGCATCCTTTAACTTTAAGATGTTCATTGCAACTACCTTGTGAATTAGGTCAATTCAAATGAGAAAGGTTGTTGAAAGGAGATTCAAGATATCAGGAAAAACAGTCAGTGTCTGCATGTATAACTCCCAGTGCCAAGGAAAAGGTTTAAAATTGGTGGTTTTGTTCTGACTAAGCCAAGTTCTCTAGAGGAATAGCTGAAATTAATTCATTATGAATGAAATTTTCATTATTTAGAATACCTAATTAATTCATAAAGTACTGTGTGATTACATTTTTTAATTTTAACTTAAACAATACACATGATAATCTTAAATAAAGGATTTAATTTTAATAATTAAATTAATATTATTACTTTTCTAAAATTCAAATGAAAACAATAAATGTATCTAAATCATCTTCATTACTAGATTTAAAAAAAAAAAAAAAAATTAATCTACGAAAAAGAAAAAAAAAAAAAAAAAAAAAAAAAAAAAAAAAAAAATATACCATAAATAAAAGAAATAAACAAACAAAAAATAAAAAAACAACAAAAAATAATAAAATTCAAATAAAAACAAAAAATGTATCTAAATCATCTTCATTACTAAATTTAAAAAAAAAAAAAAAAAATTGATCTACGAAAATGGCTTAAACTAAAAAAAGAAAATAAGAAAGAAAAAAAATCTACCGGTACTAAGAGAAATTAACAAAGCAAAAATAAAAAAACAACTAAAAATAATAAGACTATTAATCAATGCAGTAGAAAAGAATAAAAACCAATTTAAAAAAATAATAATCATACTATTATTGTTATCACATTCGGCTCCGAAGCCATTTAATATGTACAGAGCCAGTCCGGGTGCGAATAGTCATTGGCAACCATAGGTACCCGAGTACCTGTACCCGAGTACCTATAGATGCAGCCTTTTCAAAAACAAATTGAATCAAAATCTTTAAAAAATGGAGAGAAATTTTTGCAAATTTTGCTGTGGCTAGAGCTCTATTTCTTGGAATACAAAATTTACTTTAAGAGTAAATAGATAATCGTTAGGTGATAATAAAATCATGGTTAACTTTCAGCTCTCATGAAGTTATTTGGAGAAATTAATTCTATGACGAAGGACTATCTGGCCTCAATTTACAACAACTTAAGCCATCTAGTTATGTCAACAAAAAAATTTGCAATAAATTCATTGAACTTTTGGGAAGCAGGGTGTATCAGAGAATCATTAAATCAAATCCTAAGGCAAATCATTATTGGATCATTTGTATAGTATAAATTAGACTACTGCTGATGTATAACATGTTGAGCACACACATATGAAAATCCCTTTGGTTTTCACTGTTCCAATGAGTCATTTTTATAACACATTCCAGTTAAATCTTGAATTTTATTAAAATATGTTGTTTAAGTTTAACTAAGCTGATCTGGCCAACTTTGATTTGAATGGCTTTTGACAGTTATGAATTGAAAAATGGCTTAGAATTAGACTATATCAGTTTCAGGACAGAATTCCACTTATTAAATGAGCACTTTCAGAATTGAAGGAAATAGTTCAGCATACAAAATAACTACCGGTATCTAAAATAGATTTTGCAAACTGAAAGATTAAATTTTACTTGTGACAAATGCTGGCTCATACATATGACGATGGCTAACTCTAAAAGTAGAATCAAGGTGCAGGGAGAATACTCAAGGGCGTTCCCAGTTAATCACGGCCTCAGACAAGGAGATTCACTTGCATGTATCCTGTTTAACATCACACTAGAAAAAGTTATTAGAAGCATACACATGAGCACCAGTGCAACCATAACAAGCTACTTCCAGAGAGGTATTACAGAACAACAACCATCAGGAACCATATATAGCCAGCCATTGCAGTACCTGGCATATGCAGACGATATAGCGCTACTGGGTAGAAACAGTAATGACATAAATAAAGCATTCAGGAAACTTGAAAATGCCTCAGTCAAAGATGTAAATGAACAAAAGACAAAATATATGATAATGTCACAAAAATCCCACACTTATGACAACATCAATATAAACAACCATAAATTTGAGAGAGTGGCTACATTAAAATATTTAGGGGCAACTATAAACAAGCACAATGAACAATGAAATAATGTTGTGAAAAAAGGATAACAGCAGGCAGCCCTTCCTATTTCAACCTAAAAAAGCTATTGGGAAGCAAAAACCTCTCAAGGGGAACAAAGAAGACAATATACAATGTATATCATAAGACCAGTAGTAACTTACACTAGAGAGACTTGGACACTTACCAAAAACGCAGAGAACCTTCTAAATACATGGGAGAGGAAAATCCTCAGAAAACTATATGGCCCAGTGATGGAAAATAATGTCTGGAGAATCTGTACAAACCAAGAGCTATAACAATTGTACAAAGACCCACCCATAGTCGCAACAATAAAAAAGGCAGCCTGCGCTGGGCAGGACATATTGAAAGGATGTAGAGCAGCAAAAGTGATATACACTCAGGACATGGGCCTGGGCTGTAGCGCCACCGATGATAATAATGTTAAATGATGTGGCTAAGTTAATTTATAAAAGATCTCCATTTTAATAATTTTTATAATTCTGTTATAAATTAAGGCTTTAGACATATTTATAGTAGCATAAGTATAGAACCTACTTCACTTCGACACTTAACAAGGCTTAGTCTTAGTTTAGTTTATGATAGAAAGTAAGAAGAGTAGACTTGACCCTTAGATTTTTCTGTTTACTTTAAAGAAAGTTTAAAAGTATTAAATAAAATACATATTATTACAGTTACAGTTAAGTTACAAATAAAATACAGAAGTAGGCCAAAATGAATGTAAATTTTACCTGAGTGCATGGGCTTTTTATGAACAAGATTATGACTAACTGAGGCAGCAGTAAAAAGAGCCATCATAACCCCTTGGTAATAAGAGATCTTTAGACCTTCAAAATAAGGCAGTCGTCGAGATATTTCTGGACCAACCATCTTATCGAAATTGATGAAAGGTCTTTAAATGTAAACGGCCCTTACTTTGACTGAGCTTTCGGAAAGAACAAATCGTAAAATGTAATTTTGCCCCTGGAAAAAGGGTCAAGGGCGTTGTCGTTGTATGGGTATCCTGGATAGTAAAACTTTTCAAAGAATCACATACCGATGTGTGCAAAAATTTAATTGAATTTATATATATATAAAAAAAACAGCTCATCAATTTATATTATTTTATATCTCAATTGCTTTTGATAGTTATAAGAAGCTATATAATTTTAACAGCTTTGAATTCCATTGATTCGACTGATGTAAACTTAATATCTCTCAGATCCGTACACGACTGAGAAATGTATTTGTGTGCGAGCTGCGTTCATGTTGAAGTTCAGAGAGTAGGATAAAAATCTGAAGAAAGTCTAGACAAAATCCGGGATGTTTCTGCTTGATAACAAAAAGTGAATAGAGACAAAATACCAACAGATAATAAATAACGTATCCTTCTTGATCATAGCCGCCGTCAGGCAAAACCAAGGACCATCCACTTTGAAACTAAGCCATGTGGTTGCATCCAATGTAAGACATGCCCTTGCACCATTCAAAATCAACAAATTGTATCCCGTAAGTTTACTTTTCAAATAAGGGAGGGCTCCTCTTTTATCAACCCGATGACGTTTACACAATTATCTGTAAGCGCTGCTGAATGGGGGAGATACAGGGCGGCAACTACTGATAGGTTCAGTGAACAACCAAACAACATTGCTCAAGACAGCGATGTGTCGTCTCTTCTCACTTCAAAACGAAGCAACCACAAAGGCAAGGTAGATATGTCCATTACGGCCATTATTGCCGCTACCAACACACCAGTCAGAGGGAGTTCGGAGAGCATACTGATACACACGTATAGACCCTAAAACCATATAGTATGAACATCATGTTATCTTTAACTTGCTAACTCCATCCCTTACATTATAAGATTTATCAACTTGCACTTCCTTTCCTTTCTTACATATACTTATTTCCTTCTTCTTTGTCTTTTTCAACTCCTAGTGGAACATAGGCCATTAACAATATCTTTCCAAGCTGTTTGGTCTCTGGTTATTTCATCTAACTCGTTCCAGTCTTTATCACATCCTTGTCGACCTCATTTCGCAAGGTGTTTCTGTGTCTTCATCGCCATCTTTATCCTTGAGGTTTCCATCTTAGGGATGAATTATTATATTGGCCTCAGTTTTCTCGTGGAATGATTTAACCATCAGATTGTGTGATATTTGACTCAAACTACCCCACCTTACTAATCTTTTACTACCTACGATGTTCTCACCCTATTATAGTAATCTTCGGCTTCCCAACTATTTTATTTATTTATATTTCCAAAGCAAGGACCACAACCTGGGGAACTTTGTCAAAAACACAGATTGCCAAACCCATTTTAAAAAGTGCATTTCATTTAAATTTTCCCTGCGATATACTTTTCTTTGAGTTTTATATCCCTGATGCACTTTCTGCAAATACACTCAAAATCACAAATGTGAGAATTTTTCTCTGTGCGCGATCTTTGAATGGGGAAATATCGTGTGTGATATATACGGGTATGGAGCATGTTATTTTCTTTTGGGGAAAATATAATAGAAAAAACTTTAGGACCTTTAAAAAATGAAACGATAATTTTTATCTTACAATTTATTTATACGATTATTATGAAAGTTGAGATGAATATTGATACTATAAACACTTTTAGGATTAGTAGACACTTTTGAGAAGCCTAAACTGGTTTTTAATGGATATCTATTCGCTCATTTTTTCGTACTTCAGGGATTTCAGGGTCTTAATTACACAGCCTTGATTTACGTATATCCATGACTATCTAACCGAAATCGTTATGTCAAAGTGGATTTGCTTATCGGAAGTCATCTACACTACAATTCCTATACATGTGTGTAATTTTACTAAAACTAAGAAATGTTATAGACCTACTATAAAACAATTGATAAGTTTAAACTACTTTTGGTTATAGAAACTATTGTAAAAATGGATGAGCATTTTCTTGTTTCTACTGAGCAAAATATTCAAGCATAAAATTAAATAATAAATATCATAAAACATGTAAACAATTTGTTTTCTTCCGCGCCGCATTGAATTGACAGATATAATTTTGAAAATTTTGTTGTTAGTATAGCAGATTGATTAATAGATCATCAGCTGAGTCACATCAACAAACATCTTTTGACTTTTGTAACAAATTTTATCATTCTTTAAGTAGCAAAAAGTATAGACAATAAAAAAAATTGTTTGGTATATAAAGTTACAAAGTATATAAATATAAATAACATGACAACTAACTAAATCTATATTTTGTGGCTTTATTTAATAAAAACAATGGGTAGTTTTAGTATAGTAGTAGTAGTAGTATAAAAATAAAGTATAGTTAATGCTAGTAATGACTGAGTAATGACAATGATTTTGTTATATTGCGATTCAGTATACCAAACTCATAGTCCATTAAAACCATTGCCCATATATCATATCTAAATAATACAAATACAAACATTTTATAATAAAATTTTGAGCCCAAAAACAATAACAAAATATGGGTCACGAAATGTAGAGCTAAACTCCATTTACCTCCGTAGTCCATAGTAGAAGCAGTAGTAGTAGTGTAGTAGTAGTAGTAGTAGTAGTAGTAGAAAGGTGTTAAGTTTTTGGCTTTTGGTGTCCTACTAAAAAATGCATAACTTTTGAACCAATTGTTTGTAATTGAGCTAGAAAGTTGATCTTGGTGTTTATCATGTAAACCATTCCACTAAGCTCAATACAGCTGTAGTAATTTAATATTAAAAAAAATGTTTTGAAATTTTAATCAGAGGAGCTATCCATAAATGATGTCACTCAAATTTTGCCGATTTTTTACCACTACCCAATAGTCACAAATCGTGACAAAAAGTTAGGCCCCCCCCTCCTCAAATATAACATCGCAAATCTCTGCACCCCCCCAACCCCCCGCCCTTATAAAAAGTCTCTGTGTCCACTACTGTCCTTTAAAAACCCTTTAGAAATTCGCCTCCCATGTATATCAAATTACTACACCCGTGTCAGAAACATTTCACTAGATCAGTGGTTCTTAACCAGGGGAACAAGTACCTCCCCAGCCTTGAGGTGTGGAAGACCAAAAAATTGTATTCATTGGCGTACTAGGGGGGTGCTGACTGCACTGGCCGAAACCATATTGGGGGGTGACACCAAATTGAAAGATAGCGTAATTACAGAGCACACACTGATCGGTCTAACCGGAATTCATTAAAGGATAGCATGTACATTTTCCACCCATGTAACCAATCAAAATGCGTGTTTCGTTAATATTAAAATTTCAAGGTTTGACGCGTCAGCAATTAGGTTACCTTATTATTGGGTCATAAACACACCGTTTTGACCATGTTTCATCACCGAATGAAGTGTTTGGTAACATTTGTAAATGGCAGGAAGCTATTTTTATCTAAATTCTGAGAAATACAACTATCCTTTGATAACAATGGGCGATTCTAAGAACATTGCAGTTCTTAAATACATTTACCCCCTGACTTTCAATTAATTTGTTTTTGTTCTTGTATTTCTAATGCTGTGGACTAAGTTTAACAAGAAGAAATACATCGTTAAAAAAAAAAAAGGGTGGGGGGACGACACCACGAGCTTACCGGACCGGGTGACATCAACCCTAGCTACGCCACTGATTCTATTTGCTGCAATTGCTAGTTGTTGCTGCTTTAAAAAAAAAAGAAAGTGTTTATGGATTTTGATTAGCAGCAGTCGATGGTGAATTTCATTAGCGCATTGTGTGAATTGGTAACTTTTTCCTCTGTTTATAAAAAGTTAATTCAAAAAATAAAACTACGATAACTAAATTATTTAATTATTTTAAATTTGATTACAATGTAATTTATACGGTTGGGGAATGATGTTTAAAACGAAGTGGGCCTGCAGCGCTGCAAAAAAGGTTAAGAATCCCTGCCCTAGAGCATTTACTAAGATACCCCCGCTCACCCCGCAGTCAACCTTTTTCTCCCGCTCCATACCACTTCCCGTGTTCAGATTTAGCCATAAATTCTCACGACTATCATTGTAACTACATTCCGATTCTCCTACTACTGGGCATCCTGTAACTTGATCAGAGGCCATTCTTCGGACCTCGCATTCCTACCTGATTCTCTCAGTGATAGTAGTTTTAAAATAAAATAAGTATAATTGTTTTGTTTTTTTAATAATGTTAAAAATGTCTGTAATTTAGTGTTATTAAGTGAAATTCTTTACTACAACATTCTGCTTTTCATCTGACTTCCCTACTCCACCCCTCACCCCCCTGGACGCGTGACGTCATTTATGGATGGCCCAGAGTGCTTATCATTATTATATTTTCTATAGTTCACCTCCGAGAAATGGCTACTGAAGACCTTCCTAGTGAATTTGACATTGTGATTCTAGGAACAGGTATTTGATCACATATATTATTTTAATATAATAGAGATTCATTAAATTGATGGTAACACAAAAGATCAAATAGTCAACAGTAGAGTAATAATTGAGTATCCCATGGGCTAATGAAAGGATGTGTAATGAAAAAAGGGTAAATTGGTAAATGATGTATTTAAATTGTATGATGTATTTAAGTTGTATTGTTTATTTTTTGTTGTTGGTTTGTATTACACAATAATAAAGTTAAACTAATATTTTTACAAATTTACAAAATTAACATGCTTAAATTAATTTGAACTTAAATCAGTAACAGTATGGCAGCAAATCCTCTACCCCTTATCATTATCAGTGTTGTCATTATACCAGTAGAATCATAACAAGATTTTATGAGCACTCTTACCATGGAAGTCTTAAAAAGCATCACAAAACTTACATTTTATTAGCTCAGTTTTTAATAATGAATGGATTTCTATTTCAATGACTATTTCAGGATTAATAGAAACTATAACAGCTGCTGCTTTCTCTCGTATTGGCCTCAAGATTTTGCATCTAGATAGGTAATTGCTATATCCATGTGTTTTGTATGGGATCAGGAACAAGGTGCTTTAAATTAGTAGCACACTAGATTGTACACTATTGTTTTTGCATACAACAGTTTGAAAAAAATGTAAATAAATTAAATATTTATTAGCTTATTAAAAAAATATATAAACAATGGAATAAAAAAAACCGGGGGGGGGGGGGGGGCCTCTAAAATTTAAAAAAAAAACAACATCATAAAGAAGCCATCTTTAAAATAAAGTTTACCCCCTGAAAATATTTATACTTACTTTACTTAGTTTCTAAGTAAACTCTAAAACATGTTTCAGCAGTTGGAGAGAATACTTTATTTTCTTAAATAATTCTATATTATAACAAAAATTATTCTTGCCCATTATTGTCTCTAGTAGTTATTTATAGACTCTATTTAGATCTTGTTTCGTTTTTTGAAGGCTATAATTTAAGAGTTATTTATAATTTGTACAAAATAATATTTAAATCTAGGAATGACTATTATGGTGGTGCATATAGCAACTTCAACTTAGATGGAATAGAAAGCTGGAAACAGAAAAATCAAGTAAGTTCATATCTGTATTAAAATTTTGTTGTTGAACAAATGTGCATTATTAGTTAAAATAACAGGTGCAGTTATATCCTTCAAGTACTGTCATTTGAATAATTTACCGTAAACTTCATAATCATATTGCCTGTTTTTTTTTTGTAAGGGCAAGTTAAATTTTTATTTATACTAGAAAATAACACCCGATATCATCAAGATAATAATAACAGGCACTTTGTGAAAATATCAACCTGCTGTTGCGAAAACTCATCACAATTCCGTATTTTTTAAAATGTATCTATGTAATGATGTTTACTTTTCTACATCATTAAAATTTTTGAGAAGTATTTATCTGCTATATATTATACGCTTACCCTACCCAATTTCGGGCCACTAAACTACAATTATTTTTTCTAGAAACATGACCTTAAATTACCAAATTTAAATGATCACTTATTAAATCATTATTGTCAGTAAAGGAGTTCATTGACGGCTGATTTCTACGCAAGAGAAATACTTTAGATATTTTTAAATTAGTGTTTTTAAATTGTTTATTGGTGGTCATATACTACCTCTTTTCGTGCCCCAAAACTAAAAGTAAATTTCTCTAAAAATTGTGAAAACTTAATCTTAAATTTACAACAAAACTCTATATTCCATTTTAAATAAATTTTATATTAACAGAATTTGATCTACTGATATCATCATTAAAAATTTAACAAAACTGTTGCCTTTGTTTTCTACTATATTATCGGAAAATCGTAAAACAAATAATTCTTGTTTCTAAAGAAGACTTTCTTAACCATTTTTCATGCCGGTAACAGCCTTGAGTGACTTTTTTTTAATATAAATGTTATTAATCTCATAAAAATATACACCCACTTTACTGTTCGCAAAGTAAAAACAAAAAATATTTTCATTTTTGAAAGAAAATCTTAACCTCTCTCTATTTGAAAATTAAATTTTCACGTGTGTAAAATGATTGGGTTTTGATATTCATGGGTGCACTTATATTAATGTACCTATGTTTTGTTAACATCATTGATTTCTTAATTGGTAAACATATGTTTATTTGTAAAATGAGAATATAGAATCTATTTTTCACAACTGTAATATCATTGGATTTAAAGATATAGTCATCCAAGTAAGAACGAACACACCCTATTTCCCACCTCCGATATATATGTACCTAAGAAGGTTAATTATTTATCAAATTCATTCTGAGGCATATCTTGTGCTGCCTGGGGCAAAATGAAAGTATTGTATTACTCTCCCCCCTCCCCAGTTTTTAAAACAATAATAAAATCATCCATGGGATTGTATCCCCCTTACCTAAACAAAAACACATTTTTTTAATTTCATGTGCTTTGTTCTTATTTGGATGAGTGATAAGTGCATTAGTGAATGCTATTTGGCTATGGAGTTTTGCTGCACTGATTGACTTAAACGGCATTTTCTTATTAAAAGTATATTGAAAGGTTAAGTTTTTATTACTTTATAAAAATAATAAAAGTATGTTTTTGGAATGAATAAAATTAAAAAAAATTATTAAATGTTAAAAATACCAAATGAAATTTGTGTGTGTGTTTTATTAGCAATTTAAAAAGCAATCAATTATATTTATTAATTTTACTTTTAAGAAGGGGAAAATACATTATCAGTTCTGTTACGCATAGAGCTTTGGCTAAAATAAGCAATCCCACTATGAAATCATTTGGTATTTATTTATAACAAATTAATTTTATTTTTATTTGAAATATTAACAACGCATTAAAAATATACAGATCTTTGGGTTTTCCCGATAAATGTGATTACGATGTAGGTAATTCTTAGATCATAATTTTTTTCATTAAATTTTTTTCATAACTTTTAAATTCGGATAAAATGGTTAAAATAGTTCCTTGGTTGTACTTTAAATATGTGTTTAATCTATAATAATAATAATACTTAAACTTTTACTAAAATAAAGCGGATGTATAATATTTTTTGGGCATTGAAATTTATTAGATTTCTGTAAAATAATAGAAAATAACTATGATTGTTTTTAAGAATCCAAACGTATTTAATTCTTTTGGTTTCTTTGGCGTTACGGTTGGCCTAAATCATTCTTATATATATTCTATTACATCTGTTCTTTTGTAGGACTTACAGTGTGTCCCTGATGAAGAAAGCTTTGCTGTATCTGATGATGTCAAGAAACTCTTACAAGATCAGGAAACCATTATTCCCATGTCCAAAGAACGTTCCTCTGCTTTTAATATCACATCCCAGTTTCATGCTAGGTTGGTGCGCGGAGAGCAATCTTTTGTTTGGAAAGTAGCAAAGAGCCTTGGTTGGATTTAATTTTTTTTTTGTTTTTGCTTGAACCTTTTTTATGGATATAAAATAAATAATTAGGTTAAAATTTTTTTTAAAGTATTTTCATGCTTGTCATATTTATCTTAGATTAGGTATAACACATCGAGTATGTTATTTTCTTATGAAGTGGAATGGTCATTACTAATAAATTGGACATTATCTTTTGTTTGCAACCAACTCTATTTGTACTTTAATTTAGATATCTATTCTTAAACTGTTGTAATCTAGGCAAAGAACAACCATAGAGGAAGCAGAGGCCAAGAAGACAAAGTGCAACTTGTTTACGTTCCTAAAGACAGAAGCCTCTAACACAACTGCATCACCCAGTGCCACAGCCAATCCAGGTTAGTGTAAGTTCTAACAATAATATTTTTTAAAATTCTAGTACTTTTAGCTTCTCCTGGTGTTACAAATAAACATATTTAATTTTTTTTTATAAGGCTTGTCCTAGCCTCAGCTTCTTCTGCACTTAGTAGATTTGGGGAACAATTGAATTCCACTTACCATTGTCAGCCTCTTCTTGTGGCCATTTTCCAGGGTTGGGCCAAATATTTTCAGGTTCTTTTGGAAGTCTACCTTCATTTCTATTATATGGCGTTCTCGGTTCCTCTTTCACTTGGCTGGCATCTAGTTTAAAGTAGTTCTAGCATTTTGTTACTGTGGCAGGACCGATGGATGTGTCATGCAGTGAACATTTGGTGAACAGCAACTGTCATTTCAAGGCCCTTGTGTTCTGCCGCTACTTCTGGTCTTCTTTGTTGCAAAAAAGAAAAAACACCCAAAAACTCTTTCACAAATAGTGCATTACAAAAAAAAATGAGTTGTCAAAATTTCAGATGGACAAGGTGATGGGGATCCTCAAGATTCAGACGCCAAACAGCAGAGCACATCTGGTAGTGAAACTCAGGAACAAACAGTTCATGTTAAACAGGATTCTGATGTGAACAGCTGTACAGAGCAACTACAGAGCAGTCTCGTTTTGACAGATGCACCTCAAACAGCATCTCAGGATGTGGGGGAGAAAGAGAACACTTCTGGTGGTGGTGAGAGGGAAAGGGAAGAGAGGGATGATATCCACAAAAGGAAGGCTGAATCATCCGAAGAAGAAAATAATGAACAAAAACAAGCCCAACAAAGTTTGGAGCGTGAAAAGATTATCCAAGTCAAAGAATGGACTGTTGGTGACATTAAAGATGATTGGAGGAAATACTGCATTGATATTTCACCAAAAGTAAGGCCTTTTACAAAATTAAAAAAAAAATATTTTGTTTGATCATAATTCATAATTTTGGAATGTAGACTTGTGAAAAAAAAAAAAACGTTACTGTAGACTCACTACAATATTGCCTCTTCATTCTAACAGTGTTATAGTAATAAGAAAATAAAAGATCTGAACATTTTTATTTATATCTTATGAATACCAAACGTCTTAATCCTATCGATCAGTTCACAACCTGTTGCTACAATGGGCTTACAAAGTCATTATATTAAAAGGGAAAGTGTTGGGCCCACAAAATTTCTGTCTTAATCAATATTTTCTCGCAGGAAAATACTATTAATTAACCAGTGGTTTAATTCTTTAAAAATAAAAACATGGTCAATTTTCCGTTTCAGTTCCTGTACTGCAGCGGTGACTTGGTAGAACTTCTCATACAGTCTGATGTTGCGCGTTACTGTGAATTCAGAACTGTTAGCCGTGTTCTCACCTTTCTCCAGGGAAAGTTACAACAGGTAAAAAATTTTATTCTTACTTATTTTGGTCTATCAATATGAGATTCTAGTTACTAAATGCTCCAATAATCTCTTATAAAATTTGTAAGGAAAAATCAAGTCATAAGTATGAAAGATGACAACAAGAGATTTGACATAGATGAATAAACATTTAATTGTTGTGTCTTTTTTTCAAGCCTAAATATATCTTGTTTCTGTATTCATTTGAAACATATGACTTTCCTTAATAAGCCTTGGGAATAAGGATCCAAGAAAGTTATGAAAAAAACAACAAAAGGAAGTACTAATATAATATCAACTACCTTTATAAATAGCCAACAAACTTCTTTAGTCTTATGCTAATGCTCCCAAAGAAATCATTTTTTTTTTCAATTAAAAAAATAGGGAAGAGTGGGCAGTCAAATTATTTATTAACACCATTTAAATGTTTGTTTACATAATTAGGAGGAGAACATTTTTATTGATCTCCCTACAACTATAATTTGTTGTAAAGTTTCCTTCCTTACAGGATGTTAATGTTGTTTGTCTTAAAATTTGTGCAGGTGCCATGCTCTCGAGCAGATGTTTTTAGCAGTAAAATTGTCTCCCTTGTTGAGAAACGCCTCATGATGAAGTTCCTACAGTTTGCTGCTGATTACGAGTCAAGTCCCCAAGAGTACAAAGGTCAGGCTTGCATTCATGGTGAAATTACTGCCATAGCTTTAGACTCAATATCATGCGCCCTTACCTACTGTTTTTGATTTGTTAACTAAATTAAATTATAAAAATGCAGTACATTTTGAATGTCTTTAAAATTTTAAACTTTACTCTAGATTACGAGGACCAGCCGTTCAAAGATTTTCTCATTTTAAAAAAACTGACCCCAAATGTGCAACACTTTGTACAGCATGCCATTGCCATGGTAACAGATAAAGAACTCACTAATGTGGTATGTTTAGAAAAAATATTTTCAACAAAACTTGCAGTTAGCTTAACATCGACATTTGAAGTGGTCATCAAAATGGACTTCCAGTCACATTAACATGTCAAAACTAAATTAAATACATTTTTTTTCTTTAAAACACATAAATTCAATAATTTTATATCTGTGGGTTGTTTATTTTTGGTGCATCTATTTTCAAAGGCCTTAAAGAAAACAAAGAAGTACCTGCACTCGTTAGGACGCTATGGCAACACAGCCTTCCTGTTTCCCATCTATGGCACCGGGGAGCTGCCACAAGCCTTCTCAAGGTTTTCTCCTTGCTTTCTGCTACTTTAAATGTTTAAAAAATTAAACATAACTTCAAAATGTATAGAAAATAGTAATGTGTACATCTATCGCTAATCAACTAGCAAATAAATACCAAAAAAAACCCCACCCTTTCTGTAGGCTCAACCATTTACAAAATTTGAAGAGGTATCGATGCTAAGTGTATGGCTTGTTAAAACAAGCAGCTAAATATCATTGTATAGACATTTAGATATTTAAACAGTGTACGAAAATGTCTGCAGATTGTCTGCTGTGTTTGGTGGGATATATTGCCTGACAGCATCAGCCACTCACATCATTGCTGACTCAAGTAATAAGTAAGTGGAAACCTGCTTGGGAAAGACATAGCCATCCAGTATATTCTAAGCTTGGTCCTAAGGAAAAAACATTTCTGAACTGAATTGACAAGTTTAAAAAAAAAAAAAAAAAAAAAAAAAAAAAAAAAAAAAAAAAAAAAAAAAAAAAAAAAAAAAAAAAAAAAAAAAAAAAAAAAAAAAAAAAAAAACATAAAGAAAAAAAAATTATTAAAAGAAATTAAAAAATTAAAAAAAAAAAAAAAAAAAAAAAAAAAAAAAAAAAAGATAATGATTGGTTTTTAAAAAGATTGAATAGTCAATCCAGACATGGGAAATATCAAACTGTTATCTCATTGTCAAGACACATGTGTAAAACATTGTCATTGCATGCGTTGTTGCTTTTCATTAATAAATTCAATTGCATTTTCTGTCAGATGCTGTGGTATTGTTACAACAAACGGTCAAAGAATCAGCTGCAGGTAATGAGAAAACTCACAACTGACTCATACTTTTAATGTGCTGCCCTCACAAACAGAGGCGCAGGGGCATGTTATGTGTTAAATAAAATGCTTTATTTTATAAATAAAAAGTGATTTGAAAAGTGGTTTAACGATGAGTCCTTAAGCTTAGTATCTTTTTCTTCTTTAGTTTTCATGTGAGATGTTGACTGATTCATTTTTTTTGCAGATATGTTGTTGCTGAGGAGTCATATCTTCCATCATCGTATGTACAAAAAAATAGTGCCAGGTATGTATTATTTATTAGACAAGTTAACAGACATGCTAAAATAGTCTTTTACAAAACTAATATTTTGTTGTATAGTTAAAAGGCTTTGTTCAGACCAAAAAAAAAATTGATGTCTTCTTTATGAAAATAAAGACAATTTTAGAAAGTAATCTGTCCATACTTTATTAGTCTCTTGGTGACCACTGATGTATGATTTTGTTTCAGGAAAATATCCAGGGCTATTTTTATTACAGACTCTTCCATTCTGTCATCTGAAAATTCAGAGGTTAGTAATATTTGCTATTTAGAGGAGTCTAAAACTGTTCATGAAAACCTCTTACTAAATTATTGACTGTTTAGGATTTCAATTTAGAAAATCTATATTTTAATTTTAAATTTTTGTTCTATTAAAAAATGTTTTTAAAAAAAAAATGTTTTTTTTGTGGTGTTAATTAGACTACAGGTGCATAGTTTCCATTGAAAAAACTTAACAGTTACAGGCAATATGATTGATTTTGAGAAGAATAAATAGCAATTGAATTTAAAATGCACAGTTATCTATAAATATTTTAATGCAGGAAGGTGTACTAACAGATTATAATTGTTATCCATTCTATTAAAACGAAAATAAAAGCAACGTGTGCAAGGACTTTAAAAAGACAATGTAGATTTCAAGCATATTTTTCGATGTCAGCTATTCATGATGGCCGAAGTTTGATGAAGACCTTCTTTTTTCAGCTTTCCCTCCTCCATTATGTTTCTCAAGATGATAGAAATCGACCTGTGACAGTAATGGAGCTTCCAAATTCAGCCTGCGTCTGCCCCAAAGATGTTTGTAAGCAATTATTTTATAATAATGCTTATTTTCATATTGAATTTTTTTCTTTCTTTTAATGAAGTTTATTAAGGTTAATGTTTTTTAGCTTAGCAGGATGGTGCACAGCAAACCCTTTTAGTAGTAAGATGTGCACAGCAAACCCTTTTAGTAGTAAGATGTGCACAGCAAACCCTTTCAGTAGTAAGATGTGCACAGCAAACCCTTTTAGTAGTAAGATGTGCACAGCAAACCCTTTAAGTAGTAGGATGGTGCACGCCAAACCGTTTTAATAGCAGGATGGTGCACAGCAAACCCTTTTAGTAGTAAGATGTGCACAGCAAACCCTTTTAGTAGTAGGATGGTGCACACAAAACATTTTTAATAGCAGGATGGTGCACAGCAAACCCTTTTTATAGTAGGATGGTGCACAGCAAACAATTTTCGCAGGAGGATGTGCACACCAACCCTTTTAGTTTTAGGATGGTGCACACCAAACCCTTTTAGTTTTAGGATGGTGCACAGAAAACCCTTTAAGTAGTAGGATGGTTCACAGCAAACTCTTTTAGTTTTTTGGGATCTAGTAATCTTTTAACTAAAATTTTTATAACATTTTTACTCAAATATTTATGCTCTGGGGAAGTGTTCACAATTTTTTTGTAAGGTTGTAATAAAAAAAATGGTTTTGGATCACCCCTTCTGAAAGCGCAATAAGTTCATGAATTAAAAAATGTATATTTGTTAATTCATTCACTTCATTTAGTTCTTTTGATTCATATGTTTAAATTTCATCATAACATACACATGAGTTGAAATAAACATTTTTACTAATTTTAGATTAATTGAGCTGACCTAATAGACTATTTAATGATCTGGTTGTATTTGCATGTGTTTGAATTTATATATTGGTTCATATCTTGAGTTTGTCCCTTTCAGTTGTTGTACATCTAACCAGGGAAAGTGGATGCGATGATCCTGTTGAAGACCTGAAAGAAGTCAGGGACAAACTTTTCACAACCGAAAATAAAGGTACTGTTTGAAATTCTTCGTATTTATATCTCGCTCTGGCTTCCTTTTTCTGACTGGGTGGTCATGATTTTAAGTTTCTGAAAACTATTGGAAATGAAACTCCTGACGCTAGAAAGATTACACGCCAAACAGAATACTCAAGTGTTTACGTTTATTTTAAATCATTTTGATTGCAGATAAAGCTGAAGCCAAGTCCAAGATTTTATGATCCATGTATTGTTTATTTTAAATCATTTTGATTGCAGATGAAGCTGAAGCCAAGTCCAAGATTTTATGGTCCATGTATTTCCAACAAAATGATGCTAGCACTGTGACCCAAACCGTGAGTGCTCTCCCAAATGTGCTGGTTGTCCCAGGAGGTGGCAGTGCAGGGATTGACCTTGATTTCACAGTGTCAGAGGTCAGAAAATAAAAATTGGATAGAAATAATCAAGGAATTTTTTTCATAAAGATAAAGTCATAATATAATGGAGGAGACTGTTAGCCTGCATGAGTATGAATGGAATCTCATTTTGGAATGCGCTGATCAGATCTCTATAGATTTAATGAATCCTTTTATACATACATGCTTTCTAAATGACCTTAAAAAAAAAATCACCACAAATTATAATTCCCTCAGTATGAATGCATGCATTTTTGTAATGTTGTGTTCAATAGGATAGGCACGCAAAATAGAATTCCCAGAATTAGCATTAATTGAGATTCTTATAAAGTGCGTTACTTGAACGGATGTTTTGTCAAAATAAATTTTAGCACCATGATTTTTATATCACTGTGCTACAAACCTACATATCTCCCCAGGCCAAAAAAATATTCCTCACTGTGTGCCCCGATGAGGATTTTCTTCCAAAGCCCCCCAACCCAGAGGACATCATCCATGTGGACGACACAGAGGCAGCCGTCGAAAGAGGACCATCAGAGTTTCAGGATAAGGGAGATGGAGATGGGAGTGACAAGGGGGAGGGTAACGAGGAGAAAAATGAGTGTTTAGATAATGGAAAAGATAATGCGGAAGTGAAAGGAAATAAAACAGATGGCAATAGTACTTGATAATCTGAACATGCATATCATTATCAGATCTTGATGAACTATTTTTTTCACGAGATAATGCTCCTGGAAAATTATGCTGTACTTAATTGAGTATATGTGGATCATACCATAAGTCCTGGCAATTTTTTTTAAAAAAAAGTGACGAAACTAAAGCGTGATATTAATTTAGATCATAAAGGTGATATCCAGACTGTAGAGGTGATATTGAGACTATAGGGGTGATATGGAGTCAGTCTTGAAGTTGAATTATCAGTTCAAAGATTCATTTAAATGTACACTTTGGGAGCATTATTTCTGTTTGGTCTATGTATTTTTAATGTTTTTCTTTTTTAGATTTGGGAAGGAGAAACTGAAGATTAGTTAATGAAATGTGTAGGTGATTGAAATGAGTTGGCTGCTTCATGAAGCTGTTTGTGCATTTATTTCTTTTTAAAGGCGCAAAGCAATTTAACACTACCAATTAGATAATGACGTGCTATTGGCAGGGGTATAAATCATTGTAAAGAGATTTGGAATGGTGTATCTAATGTTGTCAGGAGATACTGCCTAATAAAATGTACTGAAAGGCCGAGAGTTGTGTCTTTCTAAAAGTATTTGTGCAATAGATTGGATTTTTAAAATGTCATTGTGTGATGGCCACAGAAAAAAATTGAAGCAATGTCCCATTTTACTGATGCTTGCCGAATGAATGTATGCATCAGCCTCTGACAACATGGCCTTCATTCTTGGATAGTTTTGCCGTCAATTGACAGTTATTATATAAAGATTTTTTGACACTTTATATTAAAATGTGATGCTTTATTTGTTTGAATGGTGAACTTTGGTTTTGTTTTATTTGGCTGTAGACAAATCTCATTTCTCTAAAGCAAATCTCATTTCTCTAAAGCAAATCTCATTTCTCTAAAGCACATCTCATTTCTCTAAAGCGAATCTCAAGGGCACTCATTTGTCACAGAAATAATAAACTCATTAGTCTGTGGGGAATGAATACATATCTTTATTTTAACTAATGCAATGGGAAATCTAGTTTTAGCAAGAAGCTCGACCCTCCATGGTTAGGCATACAACAATACTTTTATCTTTAAGGTGATCTACATATTATCATGAATGACATACATTATGATTATTTATGTGTGTGGGTTAAACAATACAAACATTCAACATTTTCTTTATAAGATTATCCTCAGCTAACAAGGTCATTTGCAAAAATCTGTCAAACAAATCCTTCAAATAAATTTGTTGTCCATAGGATAGCACATTCTCATTTGAACAGCATGGATGTTGCATAAGAAACAATATGCCTTATTTTTCCAAAATTTAATTGCACCCAATAGAATAAATGATGTGAAAAAAGATGAAAAAGTTGTGAAAACAAGAAATCTGGTGATCAAAGCAAATGATGCAATGATGGTCAATAATGTGATGGCACTGAGTGAGGGAACAGTTTATGACTTTTCATTATGATGATTGCAATGAATTTTTTTTTGTTGATTTACTAAGACATTGTGTTGAGTTCCCTTTAAAACAGTGTTAAACATCACTTTGCAATCTAACGATTAATGAAGAAATTTTTAAAAAATTAGTAACTCTCCAATCTAATTTGGACAGAAATGGCAGGTTTCGCTTTGGAAATAATGAAACTACATGTGTATATTTTCAAATCCAGTAAAGGGTTGTTGTGTTTAACTGATACAATGTTTGAGAACCTGTGGTGTTGAGTTTTGATTAACATGATTCTTTATAGAAACAACACCCCCCCCCCCTCCTTCAAGCCAATAGAAAGTTTTAAAAAATGTACCAGTAACTCTAAGACTCTTTATGTTTGAAGAAAAAAATACCTTTTGTTTTATGCTCAAGATTTTAAGACTTAACAATAATTACAAAGATAATGAGGGGCATAACATCAATTGCTTTTTAAAAAAGAGTTGAAATGTTGAAGTGAGCAAATGTTTCTCTGAGCTCTGTGCATTCACAGGAAAAAAACCCTCACCTGACCCAAGGCAAGGTTCTCACACCTCCTCTAAACAAACCCTCACCTGACCCAAGGCAAGGTTCTCACACCTCCTCTAAACAAACCCTCACCTGACCCAAGGCAAGGTTCTCGCACCTCTAAACAAACATAAATCACACAAATGAACCAGAGAGTAGAAACTACTTGATGTATTCCCTAAGTTATGACAAATGCTGCTTTAATTACAACAAAATAATGCAAAGTGCTAGGATGAATTCAGCCATCCAACACTTCTGTTGACTATGTCTACCATTTCCTGTATAATCCACATCTATACTGCTAGGTAAGAGTGTTTTTTCTCTGTCTTTAACCGTTTTTGCTATCAAAGACTTTTTGGCCGTAATGTTAAATTTCTGTTACTGTCCTCCTTCAGGGTTTCCTGTGCACTTTGTATATTTCTTACACAACATGTTATATTATTTCATAAATATAGGAAAATAATTACTATGTGCTATAGGCAAACAAATTTACAGGTGCAAGCTTTTATTCAATTTGAAGTTAGAGGGAAGCATTTAAGAGATTAAAAAAAACATCATAAAAGTTTTTGTCAAAAGCAAAATATTTTAATCTAAGAGTTTCACGTTTATCACTTAAAAAAAAATGTAATTTGGAGAAATAACAATAAAATAAGTAAAGGGAAACTCTTAGGTCGAATAATTACAAATGACCAATTTAAGTCATTTTTTAAATTAATTTGGAGCAATAACAACAAAAGAAGTGAAAGGATATTCTTAGGTCGAATCATCACAAATGACCATTCTAAGTCATTTTTTAAAAATAATTTGGAGAAATAAAAAAAGTAAAAGGATACTCTTAGCTCGAATTATTACAAATGACCATTATAAGTCATTTATACAAATTAATTTGGAGAAATAACAAAAGTACAAGGATACTCTTAGCTCGAATTATTACAAATGACCAATATAAGTCATTTATAAAAATTAATTTGAGAAATAACAAAAGTACAAGGATACTCTTAGCTCGAATTATTACAAATGACCAATATAAGTCATTTATAAAAATTAATTTGAGAAATAAAAAAAGTAAAAGGATACTCTTAGCTCGAATTATTACAAATGACCAATATAAGTCATTTATAAAAATTAATTTGAGAAATAACAAAAGTACAAGGATACTCTTAGCTCGAATTATTACAAATGACCAATATAAGTCATTTATAAAAATTAATTTGAGAAATAAAAAAAGTACAAGGATACTCTTAGCTCGAATTATTACAAATGACCAATATAAGTCATTTATAAAAATTAATTTGAGAAATAA